CTTTTGTGGCAGGGCTGAAATGCAGTGGAAATGTTTTTTGGGGATTAAGTTCATTTTCATGGCAAAGAGGGACTTTGCAATTAATTGCAATTAATCTGATCACTCTTCATAAAATTCTGGAGTATATGCAAATTGCCATCATAAAAACTGAGGCAGCAGACTTTGTGAAAATTAATATTTGTGTCATTCTCAAAACTTTTTACCATGTCTAACTAAATGCTTACTTGCATTCTCAACATTGCAACAAGAATAAGATATACAGTTGAAGTCGGAAGTTTACATACACTTAGGTTGGAGTCATTAAAACTCGTTTTTCAACCACTCCACAAATGTGTTGTTAACAAACTATAGTTTTGGCAAGTCGGTTAGGACATCTACTTTGTGCATGACACAAGTAATTTTTCCAACAATTGTTTACAGACAGATTATTTCACTTATAATTCACTGTATCACAATTCCAGTGGGTCAGAAGTTTACATACACTAAGTTGACTGTGCCTTTAAACAGCTTGGAAAATTCCAGAAAATGATGTCATGGCTTTAGAAGCTTCTGATAGGCTAATTGACATAATTTGAGTCAATTTGAGGAGTACCTGTGGATATATTTCAAGGCTTACCTTCAAACTCAGTGCCTCTTTGCTTGACATCATGGGAAAATCCAAAGAAATCAGCCAAGACCTCAGAAAAAAAATGGTAGACCTCCACAAGTCTGGTTCATCCTTGGGAGCAATTTCCAAATGCCTGAAGTTACCACGTTCATCTGTACAAACGATAGTATGCAAATATAAACACCATGGGACCACGCAGCCATCATACCGCTAAGGAAGGAGACGCGTTCTGTCTCCTAGAGATTAACGTACTTTGGTGTGAAAAGTGCAAATCAATCCCAGAACAACAGCAAAGGACCTTGTGAAGATGCTGGAGGAAACAGGTACAAAAGTATCTATATCCACAGTAAAACGAGTCCTATATCGACAAACCTGAAAGGCCACTCAGCAAGAAGAAGCCAATGCTCCAAAACTGCCATAAAAAAGCCAGACTACAGTTTGCAACTGCACATGGGGACAAAGATCGTATCTTTTGGAAAAATGTCCTTTGGTCTGATGAAACAAAAATACAACTGTATGGCCATAATGACCATTGTTATGTTTGGAGGAAAAGGGGGAACGTTTGCAAGCCGAAGAACACCATCCCAACCGTGAAGCACGAGGGTGGCAGCATCATGCTCTGGGGGTGCTTTGCTGCAGGAGGGACTGGTGCACTTCACAAAATAGATGGCATTATGAGGAAGGAACATTTATGTGGATATATTGAAGCAACATCTCAAGACATCAGTCAGGAAGTTAAAGCTTGGTCACAAATGGGTCTTCCAAATGGACAATGACCCCAAGCATCCTTCCAAAGTTGTGGCAAAATGGCTTAAGTACAACAAAGTCAAGGTATTGGAGTGGCCATCACAAAGCCCTGACCTCAATCCTATAGAACATTTGTGGGCAGAACTGAAAAAGCGTGTGCGAGCAAGGAGGCATACAAACCTGACTCAGTTACACCAGCTCTGTCAGGAGTAATGTGCCAAAATTCACCCAACTTATTGTGGGACGCTTGTGGAAGGCTACCCGAAACGTTTGACCCAAGTTAAACAATTTAAAGGCAATGCTACCAAACACTAATTGAGTGTATGTAAACTTCTGACCCACTGGGAATGTGATGAAATAAATAAAAGCTGAAATAAATCATTCTCTCTAAAATTATTTGGACATTTCACATTCTTAAAATAAAGTGGTGATCCTAACTGACCTAAGACAGGGAATTTTTACTAGGATTAAATGTCAGGAAATGTGAAAATCTGAGTTTAAATGTATTTGGCTAAGGTGTATGTAAACTTCAGACTTCAACTGTAGATGTTAAGAATACGACTGCAAAGTAAATGGCCGTAGAATAGAATAAACATTTTAGCATAAGTATAATACATGAAGGCACAATTTATAGTCCAATATTGACACTCCCTCTGGTCTCATGGGGCCTGTAGTCTGTAGCTGAACTGACAGTAAAAATACATTGATTTAGTATCTGCGGGCGGGGTGAAGGGGTAACTGGAGGACTGGTTAGTTGAAAGGTCGTGAGAGGCCCTGGGGGGGGGTTGGTGGGATGCTGTGGCAGGTGAAGAAGAGGCCAGGTGCTAATTAAGGCTAACGCTAGATAGTGTGATGGACAGGTTGGTTGGCGTCTCCGGTTTCAGACTCCTGGAGGGAATATTACCCAACTCCGCTGCAGCGCAGGTCATCCGTGTAACGAAGACTGCTCTGACGCTGGTGCTGGTGCTGAGTAACCTCACCCTGCAGAGTCTCAGAGAACCACACTCTCACTGCCAAGGAGAAAGATTACTATATACCCTCCTGTCATTCCCTCGTGTCCTACCCTTGTGTCCTACACAGTGAAGATGGAGTGGCCTCTGCATAAAAAATCAATGATAGAGAAGTCATACCAAAAGCTAATAGGCGAATAGGCATCCTACATATGACCGTGAGATTCCCATGACATTATGTCTGGAGACTGGTAGATAATGCAGTAACTTATAGACAACTGTGGGAAGAGGATGATGACATTGGATGGGATGAGAGTTAGTCAGCCGAGTGGTTGTCCCTCTTCCTGACAAGCAGTCAGAGTGTGTTGACCCTTGTGCGGTGAGAGTGTGTGCTCCTGCTCCTCTTGCCTGGCCGAGAATGTGGAAAATGTCAGTTAGACAGACAGCCAGACGACTCTGTCGCCCTGCACTGACCACTCTGGGTGGTCCCTCTCTACGGGGGGGGATGAGGAGGAGACCATGCGCTGGCACGATACCCAACCCATCCCCTCTGCTTTACCTGCCTATATACCACCTGCCAAATCACTGTATACAGTAGAGGTACTATAGTCTAGGCCTATATCCCCATGGAGATGGAAGTAATGTCCTAGTGCGAGTCAGCGCCATTTTGTGTCCCCAGAGCCAGATCAAAGTTTTTAGTTGCCAGGATAAAGGTTGTGAGTGGCGCAGTATGTGTGAATGTACCAACATTGTATTAGAGGAGTGTAGCCATGCACAACTGAACCCAAGGAGCTGTGGCATTGTCCTCACAAAGAGCACCGACATTTGGCAAGACGTCTAAAGTCAGACCTTTATAAAGAAACCCACTCCATCTTCAGTCGGTACATGAATCAGTGGGCGGGGGTGTACTAAGCCCATGCTTCAATATTTATCAAGGCGAGTGATTGGGGTTCGCCAACTCCTGCCCCTGACAACAGTTGAACACAGGTCCTATTTGCCAAAAATAGACGATGCCTCATTTGCATGTGGTTAATTAATTCATGATGGCCTTTGAGGGTGCGGCCCATTGAAAAGGACTGCATTGAATCTGAGACACAAAGGGAGGTTTGTGATTGGCCGCCTGCCCAGCTCTGTGGTGTTAATGGCGTCTGAAGACCTCTGGGCCTTTGGCTGAGGTAGCCAACATCCAGCAAGAACTCACACTCCACAAGCCTAGTTAACCATTTAACCTAGTCTAGCTTTTCAGTACTCCTATGAGTAGAGTGGATTAAATCTTGGTTGAGTAGACTTGGTTCTCTAAACGGCCCCAGATAAAGCCTTGGCTCGAAGCAACCTGTACCATGTACAGCATCCACATTAGGAAGTTGTCAGTTGTCACAATGCCGTAATCCTGATCCTTTGATACCTCTCCTGCCTCTCTGTACACCTGACCGTGCCTGGACACAGCTGGACTACAGGTGTCATGGCTCAGTACAGTCTGAAGGTGTCAGTCCCCAGCTGGTGCCCCCCACAGAGAGAAAGGGAGAGTAGAATGAGCCTGTCTGGGTGTCTCAGTGGACCAACCAGCACAGACTGCTAGCTCCACGTCCTTAAACCCAATCTTGGAGGGGACCCACATAGTCATCGCTCTTGTAAAAGCCAGAGAGCGTACTTTCCAGCAGCGCTGAATCTCTCTTTTTACGATCCTGCAATGTGATAAACCGCTTCTTGTATGGCGAGCCAAACCCAAAACACCACTGGCTTGTTTACTGGTGGGGACCATGGTGGAGGCCCGCTACTTTGATCAGCCAAACAAATGGGAGAGTTAGTCTGTCATTCCGTGTTATGGGTTTTCACTTCGCCGGAGGGAAACTTCTTATTCTCTGTGGTGGCACCATTCCCGTCTCCCTCCCCCTCAATGTAATCACAGCACCATGAAACAAGACAAGGCCTATTCCATCTACATTTTAAAAATTGTGAAATGAACACTGCAGTCTCTTCCAAGATTTTAATTACAGTAAAAACCATCATGGGCGGAATCACAAGTCCCTGCTGCTGCCCAAATCGTTCACTTAGATTCTACAGACTGACATCACAACTGTTTTGTTCCTTTTGTACAGTACTATGTGGTATGCAGGAGGGTTGTTGCCTTTCTCTCCTAGCATACAAAGACGTGTGTTCTTGAACGATCAACTCCTCCCTTAGTTTACAGAAGACTCATTTATAGGGAATTATGATCAAAGCTTGTAATCGAGTCATATCACGAGACGTTCCTGGTGGGTACATTTTAGACTAGATTAAAAGTTTGCTGTCTAAAACAGCCTTGGATTTGCCCTCCGTGCAGGGTTAACTGGACAGGGGATCAATGCAAATGTGAATCGAAGGTGTGTTAATAAGATAATGAAATATAGATCATCTGAGATCCTGCTGTAATGTCAAGGTGAATGTGTATTCATTAGTTACATTATCACCACCGAGGATCTCTGACCTGCTGTCTTGGGTGACCTCTAGTATGGATTTATGTATGGGTTTTAGTCTTGCATGCGAAATATGTAGACAACACTCAGACTAGATAACATCTGCGGTTGCTCTGCGGCAGTGTACGACCATGCGAAGACCGCAACCCACCACCACTCTTAAATATTGAATGACCGTTGTGGTCTCTTGGCCCCTACAAAAGGTTTTTGTGCCGGTTCCGCTTGACCAAGCTCTCACAAATGAAGCACTCTTCAAAGGGGACTAGAGGTATTACGGTGCAGTCACCTGCAGCGGTCGGCTGCTCTGCCAACCTGCTGTCCACTACATGGATGACCGCTCCTGGTCAGAATGCTATACCTGCACAGCGGAGCCCCCATGGGTAAACGCTCACAGTTAAAGTGAACTCGGGAGTCCTACCAGGAGGCACATGGGGGAAGGTGCGGCCCACCTGCCCACATAAATAATAGACTACCCACTATCCTATACTCTGTCCTCACCACTGTTCTGCGTTCTCCTCCTGTGTTCTGTAATGAGGGCAGACATGTTTTTGTATCCTGTCCATGATGCCTAAACAACTAGGGATATGCCATTTCATCATCACAGTCATTACCACAGCAGCTCAACCTACATACCAGACCTCCCCAACGTCTAACTGTTAAGGGTGGTGTCCTCCCATTTTACGATCCCCTGAATACTTCAACCGAGCCAATAACACTGACCAACATTCTTACTCATTTTGTTTAACAGTTATAGCCAGTTTATCCTCAAGCCACATCTGAGTGTGCATCAACGGCACCACCCATAGCAGACTGGACCGACAAGGACGCTTTAGCCAATGATATCCACAAACACTTATGATATACTCAGGATCTCTGCTGGTGATGTCATCACAGTGGAACGCAGGCTAAACCCCACATGTGGCTAGTGAATATTAGTACAACCTCATGGATTTATAATTCATTGTGATGAGAGAATATGGGAGCTCCCATTTCATATGTTGGTTTTGAATAAAGAGCATGGGTTTGTCAACCAAATTATTTATATGGCAACAGACAGTCCTGTACATGTATCACCCACTGTCCTCAAATGCTTTAAGCGATACTTCTGGGACTCATTATTACTAAAGTATGACAGCCATTATATTGCTTAAGGATTGCTTTGATTAAATAGCATTCTTCATTTTTCTCAAGAAAACAATTCCACAGCTACGTATTAATGTTATGGTGTCAAAAGCTTAACTCGTCCCACAAGGATGACCTCCGATCCCATCAGGTCAAAGGTTAATGGCTAGTAGAATAAACATCCACAGACTTGCCTGCCACCATCTCTCTTTGTAAGCCTACCTCATTATAAATTAGACACATGTTAAATTGTGCAAATCCAATGTCTCTCAGGCAGCAAATGGTAGAGAAAACACTTGAAGTGAGTCTTGATGTTTCCCTCAGAGAGTGCAGGTTCACTACACTAACTGCTATTGTGACATTGTGATAGAAGGCTGTAATGCTTACCCAGGCATGACTCATGTGTTTCCTGCTGGGGTCATGATGAGCAGACAGACACTGGATCCCATGGTATGCACCAGAGGCTCGCCTCACCGTGGATCAGCTGGGTGGCGGGGTCATATGACACACGCCTGCCGCGCTGTTTCCCCCAAAACAGTGGACTTAGTTAGGGCTTCCACCCACGGGAGGAAACATGAGTCTCCAATTCCTCCACTGAGAAAACAATAGAGTTAATGATAATAATAACAGTTATTTCACACGGGCCGCCTCAACCCACACCCCTCTGAACAATTTGTTCCCCTTGTGGAATGTTCCAGAGGGACAATATGGATAGAATCAGACTGTACCAAGAGCATTGACTTTAGGGGGGATTCCAGATCCACATTAAGCAGAGCTACAATAAACCCTTCTGTAAACAGGCATAATTAGTAAGTGAGAGTCAGCACCTTTTGCTCCAGGAAAAACAGAAGCAGGAGCCCGCAGGCTTGTAAACTGAACTCTCCTTTCCCTCAAGCATAAGAAAAATATAAAATAAAACCCTTTCCAAGAAGGTCTTTAAATCTCTCCCCTGCCTGCTTATTCTGGAGGGATGTAGGTAAGAGAGTGGTTTTGCCTGTGGTTTGGAGTAAAGCATGGTTTTAATTAGTTCTTATAGTTACTCCTTCACCCCTGGTGACACGCCTGGCTTCCCTGTTCTCTGGCTGAGCTGCCGTTGAACATCTTTAGTCCTGATGAGCCGAAGGCTTGAGCTAACCTAATATCACCCTGAGCCCAATGCGACGCTTGTCACGATCGTCGGGAACAGAAGACCAAGGCGCAGCGTTGAAGGCGAACATAGTTTTTATTTAATGATTACACTAACAAAACAACAAACGATAACGTGACGTCCTCGGTCTAACACAAACCACACTGGAACAAGATCCCACAAACACTGTGGGAACACAGCCTGTCTAAATATGGTGCCCAATCAGAGACAACCAGCAACAGCTGACACTCGTTGCCTCTGATTGAGAACCACTCTGGCCAACATAGACATACATGAACTAGAAAAACAAAGAACACTCACACCCTGGCTCAACATACAAGCCTCCCCAGAGCCAGGGCGTGACAGTACCCCCCCCCCCCCCCCCCCCAAAGGCGCGGACTCCGACCGCGCCAACCAAATACCACAGGGGAGGGACCGGGTGGGCACTCCGCCTTGGCGGCGGATCCGGCTCCAGGCATGATCCCCACTCCCTCTCTAACCCCCCAAAGTACCCCTGGTCCGGTCTGGCCCTGCTGACCGGAGCTGGACTGCACACTGGTGGAGCGGATTGTTCTAGCGCCGGCGTGAAGCAGCTGACCCGTGCCGAACCAGGCACCGGTGGAACAGGCACGGGCTGTGCCGGACTGACGACGCACACCACTGGCTTGGTGTGGGGAGCAGGAACGGGCCGGGCCGGGCTGACGAAACGCACCCCTGACTTGGTGCGGGGAGCAGGAGCGGGCCGGACCGGGCTGACGAAGCGCACCACTGACTTGGTGCGGGGAGCAGGAACGGGCCGAGCCGGGCTGACGAAGCGCACCACTGACTTGGTGCGGGGAGCAGGAGCGGGCCGAGCTGAGCTGACGAAACGCACCACTGACTTGGTGCGGGGAGCAGGAGCGGGCCGGACCGGGCTGACGAAGCGCACCCCTGACTTGGTGCGGGGAGCAGGAACGGGCCGAGCCGGGCTGACGAAGCGCACCACTGACTTGGTGCGGGGAGCAGGAGCAGGCCGAGCTGGGCTGACGAAACGCACCACTGACTTGGTGCGGGGAGCAGGAGCGGGCCGGACCGGGCTGACGAAACGCACCACTGACTTGGTGCGGGGAGCAGGAGCGGGCCGGACCGTACTGGGAACACACACCACTGGCCCTACGCTGGGATCAGGAACAGGCCGGACCGGACTGGCAACACACCCCAGTACCTCTCGCCGTGCCTCTACATCCTCTTTCCCCCTGGTGACCAGTGACTCCCGTAACCTGGCGGCCTCCTGCTGCCCCGTCGTCCACGGCGTGAGCCCCCCCCCTAAAAATGTTCTGGGCGTCTCTCCTACCCGTGGACCAGGTCTCCATGTCTCTCGCCAGACTTTCGCCCTTCTGCTTCCAGGTCCAGCCTCTCTCTTCCTCACACGGCTTGACCCAGTCGAGGAGGCGAAGGAGATCCGCTAGAGATCTCCCTGGCGATGGCTCCTGGACACGCTGCTTGGTCCAGTCTTGGTGGGATCTTCTGTCACGGTCGTCGGGAACAGAGGACCAAGGCGCAGCGTTGAAGGCGAACATACTTTTTATTTAATGATTACACTAACAAAACAACAAACAATAACGTGACGTCCTCGGTCTAACACAAACCACACTGGAACAAGATCCCACAAACACTGTGGGAACACAGCCTGTCTAAATATGGTTCCCAATCAGAGACAACCAGCAACAGCTGACACTCGTTGCCTCTGATTGAGAACCACTCTGGCCAACATAGACATACATGAACTAGAAAAACAAAGAACACTCACACCCTGGCTCAACATACAAGCCTCCCCAGAGCCAGGGCGTGACAATGCTATCTCCTAGGCTCTAAAGCTTTGGAGATGTGATGTTCTCCTTCTTTGTCGAGAGGTTCCCTTTATTAAATGCACGTTGGCTTATTAGAGTTTGACAAGGGCCTTCGTATTAGATTTGAGTCTGGTGGAAACAAAGCATATTTTGTGTGTGTGTTCTTCATTAGGCGCTGTGAGATGATGCTCATGCCTAAAATTATACATGATTCACCAACCGACTGCTTTCTGCTTTTTTAACAATATCGCCTAACTTGATTTATCTACATATGATTGGGGCGTATGATATGAGGATGCTTATAGAGGTATGTCAAGATCAATAGAGTGAAGAGGCGTGGGAAATGGTACTTATTCATGTAAACAACTCTATTTTTATTCCATACTGCAACAGCACTAAACACACATCCATGACCAGAAAGAGAGGGGGAGGGGAGGCACTGAAAAACAGCTTTCATTCAGGATAAAAGGGCCTCGACCTCAAAAGCAATGTGCGATACTATTGAATAGAATAATAGAAGTGACTTTAGCCTGGAGGCCTGAAGGAGAGCATAGCCAACCTGTTTGTAGATTAGCGAGAGAAGACAGAGGAAGAAGGGGATAAAAAAGCCTGGATGAACTTGCTCTCAACTCCTCCACTCCTGCCCCCTCTCAATAGTGATTGAAAAAGTGATGAATATGCATGAGTTTGGCATAGACAGTGAAGGCCTTTGATGGTTTGGGTGGAGAGCTCTCCCTCTCTGGATGCTTAGAGACAGGGGATGTTTACTTCATCCTTCTAGCTTTAGGACAATAAGGGCTTTTACAGTAGCTGGTCGGTCAGAGAGACAACCAAGTAAATGGTTTTTCCACAGATCTCTTTTGCTCACCATGACTGTCCAGTGTTCATAAAGTGGCTGGACTTGAGTGGAAAGTTGAAAGTTGTTTTGTGTGGTATCTACTGCATGCATTGCAAAACGGATGCAATCACCTTTATGCACTTGTTGTTTAGTCAGTGTTAGCTGACTTGGTATAGTCCTACTGTAAATGCTACAGATTCCCCATTATTTCCCACCGTAACATTTTCCCTCTGTTTGTTTTATCCCCCAGACCTGCAGGCGTCCCAGACGGTGGAGTTCTACAGTCTGTCAGACAAGGCCATGGACTACAGGATCCTGTTGATGGATGAGGACCAGGACAGGATGTATGTAGGCTGTAAAGACCATGTCCTGTCCATGGACATCAACAACATCACCCATGGGACACTCAAGGTGAGGTCCTCTTAGCAACATGACTTCCATTACTTTCCATCCTATTTATCAGGCTCTCACTAAAGGAGACAAAATGACGTTGATCTCATTTAGCTTTCCTTGCATGTGACAGATCATGGCTGAATACATTATGCTAATTATTCAAGAACAGTAATGGTGGTAATTAAATTATGATAAAGTACATTTTCTATGCTAGATCACACCCATTTCATGGAGCAAAATGTATGACATATATCAGTGGTGTTTGATGCAGTTATGTGATGCAGTAGCAGAAGTTCCCTGCTAATTGTATCTCTGTGTGCAGTGAGGGAGCTACCCTGTCTATAACTGACAGGCGTGAAGAGGAGAACAGATAGGAATGCATTTAGTTCACCCCAGAGAGTGCTGTAGCACATCCATTTGCAAAGTAATTGCCTGATACGTTCCCAGCATTAGACCCTTCAAGCACCTCACAGGTTTGGAAATATAGCATTTACTGGAGACAAGTTATCATCATTATTGGGAAGTTCACTACAGAGTAGGGCATCCATATTAGGAAGTCACTACAGTGTGTGAAGTTTGTCAGTTTGCTTCAGAGTCTGTTTATTTCTGTTCAATATGTTCTCATCTCTTCCTTCCTTCTGCTCCCACAAGCTGTCCCTAGTTTCTGGGTAGTTTTTTCCCAGCTTTCCAAGAAGACCAGGATGTGCAATGGTCCCTAATGAAGCTGTTTTCTGTGTTTCTCACCAGGTGTTTTGGCCTGCATCTGTTAGCAAGATTGAGGAATGCCAAATGGCTGGCAAGGACCCCACGGTAAGAACACTAACACTCAATATGTAGCACTAACCGCTAACTAAATCCACTGAAATGAACACACTGTACTGAAGTCTCTGGTCCTTTTCCATGAGCATGTGTTAGCATGTTAGCATCCTGGGTTCCAAACACGTGGGGCTGCAGATGCGGAGTTGAGGAGAGCCATTGACTCCTCCTGGCATTCCTTATGTTAGTCGATAGGAGAATGAGGTGTAGGAGTGCTCAAATCCACCCCAGAGAAAATATACAAGCATCAAAGCAGTACGCTAACCACTGTGACTGACAACAGATCTCATAACCTGGCCTGATCCCTTACTGCACTGCTTGTCTGTTGTATTAGCATATAGAACATTGACAACCTCAAAACTCCCGAGTGGCGCAGAGGTCTAAGGCTCTGCATCTCAGTGCTAGAGGTGTCACTACAGACCCTGGTTCGATTCCAGGCTGTATCACAATCCGGCCGTGATTGGGAGTCCCATAGGGTGGTGCACAGTTGGCTGGGGTAGGCTGTCATTGTAAATAAGAATTTGTTCTTAACTGACTTGCCTAGTTAAATAAATAAAAAAATAAATAAAACAACAGCAGCTGGTGATTCAGTTTTCTGTAACTAATTAGGCTGTTTTGCATGTTAGGACAACATTTCTGTAATTCATCTGTTTAGACTGTTTTTGTTCCATTGTTTTTATTGGACTGTGTTGGCCTGTTTTTATATGGACTGTGACTTCAAAGGCATGCATGTGGTGTACTGTTATGGAGCTAGTAGCTGTAGTTAGTAACAACAGCAACCATGGCAGAGAGCTGTGGTCTTGTACAGTACTATAGTGTAGGATCATAGTCTGGTGCTGTAGGAGTAGAGAAGAAGCTGTTTCCAGTCAGTGGAGGGTGATTAGTGCTGCCTAGAGTAATGGCTCCAGCTCTGTGGACAGCCTCGCACAAATATTTGGCTGAGCCGTCTCTGTCCCTGGTGGTCGGCTTACCTCCCTCCTCCTCTCCTCCTCCTCGACTCTGTCATCCCTCTCTTCCACAGCCCTGCCTGGTCTCCCTCTCTTCCACAGCCCTGCCTGGTCTCTCTCTTGCAGTTTCAGCCTCTCCCCTCTCTCTCGCTCTACTCGTACTGTCTCGCTCTACTCTACCCCTCACTCACTCTTTCTTTCTTTCGCTCTCTCTGTTTAAACTCTGTTTTTATAATGCCGTTTCTCCTGGACATTTTATTTGTGTTCCTGAATCGCAGCCCTTGTCAGTTTGTTATGGTTACCCTCCTGATGTGTATATATTCAATTCCTCCTTTAGGATAGAATCTGGGGTCACCGGGCCTCCAGACTACGACCACACATTGTTAAGCACTCCTCCAGTGCTTAACAATGTGTGGCATTTGGGGAGGAATATTCCTTTATTGTATGTATAAAAGCTTGAGATTGATTAAATCCATGTTTAAAAGTTCCCTCACTGTGTGATCCTCTCTTAAAGGCCATCCTCCTGGTTTTTAAATCCCCTACTACAGTTGCTCTGGCTTGTCTATAAAGGTGGCCTGTGGCTGGATAGTTAACACAAGCAAGCCCTGGGACATGATATTAGTTCATATGTAAATTGGATATGAGCAGACAGTTGGGGGCGTAGAGTTGGAGGGTGTCGTCTGAGGGGTGTTTATATGCTAGGAGGAGAGAAAGCAGGAATGAAAGAGAAAGTGAAAAGGCGAGAGAGGGAATGAAGGGTGTGTATTGTTGGACGTATCGTTGTTTTTTTCGGTGGAGTTGGTGTGCGGAGTGTGAGCGGCCGCAGCTGCCCCGTTTCCGTGGGGATGGCCAAGTTCCTAATGGCTCCCCGGGTGCTCCTCGCTCCTCTCCTCAGCTGGCTCGCTCCGCAGTCTGAGTTTTTATTACGCACAAAGCCCAGTGCTCCGGCCACTCCCACCTCGTGCTGAAGAGGGAAAGATCTCGATTGGATCTGTAATCAGATCACTGGGCTGTGTATACTCAGCCCTGGAGACGGGGCTTTGACAAAATATCAATTTCACTGTTGACACGCTTTTTTCCACTCCAGTGCCAGGGAGCAAACTGGAAATAGCTATTCTGATTGTGCTTCATGACAGTATATAAGTAGCAAGTGAGGAAAGTTGGAATAACATTGGTAGCTAACCAGTTGGAACTGTGTAATTGTTCTTTATGAATCATAGGCCCTGACCAATCAAAACTTGGCCACTTAACTTGACCATTCTCAACAATTGCAGTCTGGAAGGATTTTGCTGTTGAACATGCAATATTGCATGATAGATTGATTTGACTGATGTATGGATACTTTGGTGACTTCATACATGTACTAACCAATTTCCTCACCACCCCTCTGCAGCATGGATGTGGGAACTTTATCCGGGTGGTCCAGCCGTTCAACAGAACGCATCTGTTCATCTGTGGGAGTGGTGCCTACAGTCCTGTCTGTGCCTTCATCAACAGGGGCAGGAGACCAGAGGTTAGTCTGCTCCTTGACCTATAGTCAGATCATGACCACAATGCTAGACTTCACCTACAGTACAGTCTCTACCACCATATTCTCATACAAATGGACATTCCTGTGGATATGTGGTTATTGCTGAAACTAAAGCTTGGTAAGTTTACGGCTGGGCGTCTGCTTCTGAAACCAAACTACAGGATTTGTAATGTTTCATCTGGGGCAAGAGGAAGTCTGTCTCGATCCAAGACATCCTCAGGAAAGCAGCCATGACAGTTGAGGTTAGCCTTGTGTGTCAGTCTCTCTGAGACAGAGAAGAGAGGGATGGAGTAGAAGAGGAGGAGCTGTCTGCCCCGGTCTCTGGTCACCCGGCCCTGGAAACGAGAGCGGGAAACCCCTCCAGGAGAAAAGCGCTCACTGAACTCACTGGCAGTTGCAGCAGTCTGCAGCGCCTGCCAAACGCTAATCGGCACAGAGCTCTTTCTGCAGTATGGTGTCTTTGTCATTAAAGCAGCATTGCTCTGTTTTTCCCCTCAGCCAATGCTTGGATGTGTCAGTATCGTGTCTCAGACTGGGTCTGCTAACCGTAACAAGCTGCTATTGTGGGACTTTGACACGCAACTCCCTGGGCTCTTTGGCCCCTAAGCGTGTGTCACGTTGCATGGGAGCCTAGTGAGGAGGATGTCACAGTGTCACAGACAGGTCACCCTTGTGTGAGTGTGTTGCCGTTCAGACCCTGTGATGAATGGCCACGGTTCGCCGCCAGAGCCAAAGGGAATGAGGCAGAGTCCAAATCTTCACGCACCACTTGGAGAGCAGCCGCGCTTTTCTGGAGAACGTCCCTGGGCTGATGGCGCCTCCTTCCCCTTTATTCCCCCAGTCAGAGCTGTCGAAGTGTGGGTTGAACCAAACCGGGGGATGGGACGGGGGGATTTTCCCGCTGACCGCAGAGATTGTAATGCCGGATGATCCATTTCACTGTGAGGGGTGGCAGAGGGCCAGGTCTGAGATGGAATCACAGCATCTCTGCCCATCGGAGGACATTCCTCCCTAATGGAAGGTTATTTTAATGTCGCGTACAGACCAGTAAAGGTAAAGCCCAGCGCTGGCTTTGTAACTCTTTAAACCAGAGGGAAAAAACCTTAAGAACATTTGGAATGCTCATAATCTCATATTTGTTGCTAAAAAGAGCGGAGGGTAGAATTCCGCCAAATTCCCATATAAAATCTGTTATTTACATTTTATTTTCCTGCAGGAGCAGGTGTTCCACATTGACTCCAGAGCGGAATCTGGGAAGGGAAGGTGCTCCTTCAATCCTAGAGTCAACACCGTCTCCGTCATGCTTAGTAAGTTCTCTCTCCCTCTGTTGGCTCTATGTATGTCCCTGCAGCACGCATCATACAAAAACACAACCCGCTATACTTCTCCACCCTATGGTTAACCAAACTCCCAACCCCACCTATCGGTGACCCTGCCGTGGGTCGGGCTGCACACCCTCGTCGCACGCACAGCACGCCTTTCTGACACCCAAGCGCCGTGGTGTCAGCAGCCTTACCCATCATCAGCCCCTCAAGCCCAGCCCGGGAAATCTGGTAACAAGGGGAGGGTTGGCAGAGAGGAGGGGTAGTGGTGGCAGAGAGGAGGGTTAGTGGTACCAGAGAGGGGGACTCTGAGTCACACTAGGGGACAATCAGGCCTGTGTCTGGGCTAGATAAAAGGCTCTATCTCCATACTGAACCCCTCATATAAGCCAGTGCTGTCTGGGGGATGTTGACACCACTGCTCCACTCAGAACAGTCAACCACACTACATACACATACACACACTCACACTTGGACCTGAGCCATACCGCCAGAGTACAGGCTGCTGCATGCTGGGCTGATGGAATGATGAAGTGATAGAGTAATGGAATGATGAAATGCACAGAGGGTATGGAGAGAGGAAAGAAAGAGGGAGGGAGAGAGCTCACAGCCGGGGTCATTAGCAGAGTACAGGGAGATCAAACACTATGGCTGTATATCCACTGTTGGCTCCATTACTGTTTACTGTCACCATTCCCTCTCTACAGTGATGTCCTGTCTCTGGTAGATCAATCCATCACCATTGAATTCACTATTGAATATGAACCCATAATTTCCATTGCTGTCAATGGTAATGGACACAGGCACATATTTGTTCCATTGGCTGTTAATAGTCAGGGATTGATATTGTCTTGCCAAGTCTTTAGGGTCAGGGGCTTGTGGGGTGGGGGGAAGTGTTCTGTTTGGTCAGATGGGAGTGAGATGGTTCAGCTGTGAGCCAGGGTTGTGTTCATTTGTGGCACACCATAGCAAAACTTTTCGCAATGGAAAATGAAAACAAGCTTTTCTTAGTGGACAAGTTCAGGTAGTACCTACCCTGTTTCACTTCGTTTTCTTCCATGTTGTGCCTTAATGAACACAGCCCTGTAATGCGTCTCTGTTGTGCTCCAGACCAGGAGCTGTTCTCAGGCATGTACATAGACTTCATGGGGACGGACGCTGCCATCTTCAGGAGCCTCACCAGGAGGAACGCAGTGAGGACAGACCAGCACAACTCCAAGTGGCTGAGTGGTGAGCACATACAGCAGAAACATATGAAGTACATACAGTGGGGGAAAAAAGTATTTAGTCAGCCACCAATTGTGCAAGTTCTCCCACTTAAAAAGATGAGAGAGGCCTGTAATTTTCATCATAGGTACACGTCAACTATGACAGACAAATTGAGATTTTTTTTCTCCAGAAAATCACATTGTAGGATTTTTAATTAATTTATTTGCAAATTATGGTGGAAAATAAGTATTTGGTCTTCTTTAAGAGGCTCCTCCGTCCTCCACTCGTTACCTGTATTAATGGCACCTGTTTGAACTTGTTATCAGTATAAAAGACACCTGTCCACAACCTCAAACAGTCACACTCCAAACTCCACTATGGCCAAGACCAAAGAGCTGTCAAAGGACACCAGAAACAAAATTGTAGACCTGCACCAGGCTGGGAAGACTGAATCTGCAATAGGTAAGCAGCTTGGTTTGAAGAAATCAACTGTGGGAGCAATTATTAGGAAATGGAAGACATACAAGACTACTGATAATCTCCCTCGATCTGGGGCTCCACGCAAGATCTCACCCCGTGGGGTCAAAATGATCACAAGAACGGTGAGCAAAAATCCCAGAACCACACGAGGGGACCTAGTGAATGACCTGCAGAGAGCTGGGACCAAAGTAACAAAGCCTACCATCAGTAACACACTACGCCGCCAGGGACTCAAATCCTGCAGTGCGAGACGTGTCCCCCTGCTTAAGCCAGTACATGTCCAGGCCCGTCTGAAGTTTGCTAGAGTGCATTTGGATGATCCAGAAGAGGATTGGGAGAATGTCATATGGTCAGATGAAACCAAAATATAACTTTTTGGTAAAAACTCAACTCGTCGTGTTTGGAGGACAAAGAATGCTGAGTTGCATCCAAAGAACACCATACCTACTGTGAAGCATGGGGGTGGAAACATCATGCTTTGGGGCTGTTTTTCTGCAAAGGGACCAGGACGACTGATCCGTGTAAAGGAAAGAATGAATGGGGCCATGTATCGTGAGATTTTGAGTAAAAACCTCCTTCCATCAGCAAGGGCATTGAAGATGAAACGTGGCTGGGTCTTTCAGCATGACAATGATCCCAAACACACCGCCCGGGCAACGAAGGAGTGGCTTCGTAAGAAGCATTTCAAGGTCCTGGAGTGGCCTAGCCAGTCTCCAGATCTCAACCCCATAGAAAATCTTTGGAGGGAGTTGAAAGTCCGTGTTGCCCAGCGACAGCCCCCAAAACATCACTGCTCTAGAGGAGATCTGCATGGAGGAATGGGCCAAAATACCAGCAACAGTGTGTGAAAACCTTGTGAAGACTTACAGAAAACGTTTGACCTGTGTCATTGCCAACAAAGGGTATATAACAAAGTATTGAGAAACTTTTGTTATTGACCAAATACTTATTTTCCACCATAATTTGCAAATAAATTCATTAAATATCCTACAATGTGATTTTCCTGGATTCAAAATTATCATTTTGTCTGTCATAGTTGACGTGTACCTACGATGAAAATTACAGGCCTCTCTCATCTTTTTAAGTGGGAGAACTTGCACAATTGGTGGCTGACTAAATACTTTTTTTCCCCACTGTATACTCTACACCAGAGGTCTCCAACTGTGACCCTGAAGAGCTACTGGTTGGGCAGGCTTTTGTTCCAGCCCTGCACGAACACATCTGTGTTAGTTGGAGACCCCCATTTAGTTCATCAAATGTACTTCAACTACTTTGATACTGGTGCTGCATGTAAGGAAGATGTTGAGACATTGGACAGAATATGTTATGCTATATCATTTTAGCCTGTTTATTTATTTTCCATAGAACCCATCTTCATAGATGCCCAGTTAATCCCAGATGGATCGGATATCAACGATGCTAAACTGTATTTCTTCTTCCGGGAGAGACTGACGGACAACAGTGGGAATACCAAGAACATCCACACCATGGTGGCTAGAGTGTGTCCTGTAAGTGTGTGTTCAGGAAGTGTGTGTGTCCAGGAAGTATGTGCGTGTCTGCATTGCATATGTGTGCATGCATGAGACATTAACATGCATCTCTTTCGATGTCTACAGAATGACATAGGTGGCCAGCGTAGCCTGGTGAACAAGTGGACCACGTTCCTGAAGGCCCGGATGGTGTGTTCAGTTCTGGAGGAGGACGGCACCGAGACACACTTTGACGAGCTCGGTGAGGAATACGCCAACACCTACTTACTGTATTTACCAAGGCCTGGAACATTCTATTCCAACCCAAACCGCTTCTCCTGTTTACCTAGAACTAAACATCTCCCTGGCCAGTCTCTACAAATACCAATGTATCTCAGATTCTCAGGTGTTTTCGATTGCTTTTGATTATAAACAGCATCTTTACACACATTTCTTGACCTGCTCCTCAGTATTGAAAAAACTCATGGTAGCACTTTATTTGGATAGTCCATCTGTGGATGCTACTATCTACAGACTATTAGTAACATTTCAACTAACTATCTACTAACCATAGCCCTAACCTGAACCCTAACCCTTATTCTAAACCTAACCCTAACAAGCAGTTGCTTAGTAACAGATAGTTTGTTGATAGTATGATAATCCGAAATATCCAAATAAATAGTGACCCAATTCATCCCTTGGTATTATTTTAGTCTTCTGTGAGTCTATGGAGGTCTATCAACACGGACATTCATTAAATTCCTCTCCACTTCAGACTCATCCATTACGGGAATATTAAACGATAAGGTGCATGATTAACGTTGACTCCATAACACAACGTTGTGTTTTCCCTTCCAGAGAGTGTGTTTTTGCTGGAAACCGATCACCCCAAGAGCCTCCTGGTGTTCGGCGTCTTCACGTCCACAAGGTGAGGCCAACGGTAATATTGCTCAAGCATTAGTGACTATGCTGACTGGCATGGCAGCACCGGATATCACAGGACATGACAGTAGCTCCTGGATAGAGACCTCCAGTATCACCTTATTGTAGCATACTCTAGTGATCTGCATATAGCACCAGATGAGGCTGGTGGGAGGAGCTATAGGAGGATGGGCTCATTGTAATGGCTGAAATGGAATAAATGGAACGGAGTCATACATGTGGTTTCCATATTTATTTCCATTTACATTTTAGTCATTTAGCAGACGCTCTTATCCAGAGCGATTTACAGGAGCAATTAGGTTTAAGTGCCTTGCTCAAGGGCACATCAACAGATTTTTCACCTAGTCGACTCGGGGATTAGAACCAGCGACCTTTCGGTTACTGGCACAACGCTCTTAACCACTAAGCTACCTGCCGCATATGTTTGATGCGTTTGATACTGTTCCATTTATTCCATTCCAGCCATTACAATGACCCCGTCCTCCTATAGCTCCTCCCACCAGCCTCCTCTGGTACTACAGTATTTGGCTCATTGACTTAACTTTACCATACCGTTCGCATTACATTTCCTGATGTACTAGCAATACAGTTAGTGAGCTCTGTTTCCTTCCACAATGTTGACAGCAAGTTCATTATGCATGCGTATCACCATGTAGTACCCTGTTGGTTGCTAAGGTCTACTATTACTGTATGTGGTAACCCAGACACTGTGTTCAATTAACTTCAGTCAACTTTATTTATCCTCAAGGGCTTTTGCAGGATGGCTACACGTGCCTGTTACCGTGTACTCACTGGTTTGCATCCACTAGGAACTAAACGGAAGCAAACACGCAGAAACAGGAAGGGAACTATCAATAAGAAACACTTGTTCTTTTTTACATTACAAAACGTTTTGCTACGGTGTGCACTAATGAATACAATCCTGGTTTCTTCAATCATCAAGGCTAATTGGGCAGCATCTAGATCAGGGTTACTCAACCTTCTGGCTATTGTAACCATGTACAGTGACCCTTCCATAAATCCCCATGATCCACTTGTAACCTAAGGAAACACTTGTAACCCAAGGAAACACTTGTAACCCAAGGAAACACTTGTAACCCAAGGAAACACTTGTAACCCAAGGAGCAGATCAAGAGTAGATTAGCTTGACTCTCTGGCTGCGTCTCAAATGGCATCGCATTACCTTTATAGTGCACATCGTTTGAGCCGGCCCATAGGGCTCTGGTCTAAAGTAGTGCACTAAATAGGCAGTAGGGTGACTTTTGGGATTCATATTCTCTCTATAGCCAACACAAACAGTCTGTAGTCTCCATGCAACGTTGTCATTCTTATCAGCACAATGTGTTTCTACCTCTCGCTCCTTCAGGCCTTCTCCTCTGTTTCCCTCACTGAACAAAGGCTCTCTCTGTATTACTTATGGTCATGTGGTTTTTAGGTCCGGTCCAAACCACATCATATCCTCATATCCTTCTGGGAATGGAGCAAGAATGGGGGAAGAGGGGCAAGTTGGGGTAGGGCAGACTAAGGTGGCAGTAAGCTTCACCCGGATTGGATGGCTTGGATATCCTATGAACAGCAAGGTTTAAAGGACTGTGATTTTTTAACTGGGTGGATCTGGGGGCTTCCTGGATGTCAGTTCTCCACATCACACTGACCGCCGGAATGTGTTTGTGTCGTTTCCCACAGCTCGGTGTTCAAGGGCTCGGCCGTGTGTGTCTACAACATGGCGGACATCTTGACAGTCTTCAACGGCCCGTTCGCACACAGGGATGGGCCAAACTTTCAGTGGGTGGCGTACCAGGGACGGATCCCCTACCCCCGGCCTGGAACAGTGAGTTTAGGGTCTAATATCCGTATTGAAATCAAAATAAGACAATTGCTCCAATGCAATGTACAGTTCCTTGTTGTTCTCCTGTATCTACAAGTATTGGTCTTCACAAAGTTTGCTGCTTCAGTGTTTTTAGATATTTTTGTCAGATGTTACTATGGTATACTGAAGTATAATTACAAGCATTCCATAAGTGTCAAAGGCTTTTATTGACAATTACATTACGTTTATGCAAAGAGTCAATATTTGTGTTGACCCTTCTTTTTCAAGACCTCTGCAATCCACCCTGGCATGCTGTCAATTAACTTCTGGGCCACATCCTGACTGATGGCAGCCCATTCTTGCATAATCCAATGCTTGGAGTTTGTCAGAATTTGTGGGTTTTTGTTTGTCCACCCGCCTCTTGAGGATTGACCACAAGTTCTCAATGGGATTAAGGTCTGGGGAGTTTCCTGGCCATGGACCCAAAATGTCGATGTTTTGTTCCCCGAGCCACTTAGTTATCACTTTTGCCTTAAGGCAAGGTGCTCCATCATGCTGGAAAAGGCATTGGTCGTCACCAAGCTGTTCTTAGATGGTTGGGAGAAGTTGCTCTCGGAGGATGTGTTGGTACCATTCTTTATTCATGGCTGTGTTCTTAGGCAAAATTGTGAGTGAGCCCACTCCCTTGGCTGAGAAGCAACCCCACACATGAATGGTCTCAGGATGCTTTACTGTTGGCATGACACAGGACTGATAGTAGCGATCACCTTGTCTTCTCTGGACAAGCTTTTTTTTCCGGATGCCCCAAACAATCGGAAAGGGGATTCATCAGAGAAAATGACTTTACCCCAGTCCTCAGCAGTCCAATCCCTGTACCTTTTGCAGAATATCAGTCTGTCCCTGATGTTTTTCCTGGAGAGAAGTGGCTTCCTTGCTGCCCTTCTTGACACCAGGCCATCCTCCAAAAGTCTTTGCCTCACTGTGTGTGCAGATGCACTCACACCTGCCTGCTGCCATTCCTGAGCAAGCTCTGCACTGGTGGTGCCCCGATCCCGCAGCTGAATCAACTTTATGAGACGGTCCTGGCGCTTGCTGGACTTTCTTGGGCGCCCTGAAGCCTTCTTCACAACAATTGAACCTCTCTCCTTGAAGTTCTTGATGATCCGATAAATTGTTGATTTAGGTGTAATCTTACTAGCAGCAATATCCTTGCCTGTGAAGCCCTTTTTGTGCAAAGCAATGATGACGGCACGTGTTTCCTTGCAGGTAACCATGGTTAACAGAGGAAGAACAATGATTTCAAGCACCACCCTCCTTTTAAAGCTTCCAGTCTGTTATTCTAACTCAATCAGCATGACAGAGTGATCTCCAGCCTTGTCCTCGTTAACACTCTCACCTGTGTTAACGAGAGAATCACTGACATGATGTCAGCTGGTCGTTTTGTGGCAGGGCTGAAATGCAGTGGAAATGTTTTTGGGGGATTAAGTTCATTTTCATGGAAAAGAGGGACTTTGCAATTAATTGCAATTCATCTGATCACTCTTCATAACATTCTGGAGTATATGCAAATTGCCATCATAAAAACTGAGGCAGTAGACTTTGTGAAAATTAATATTTGGGTCATTCTCAAAACTTTTGACCACGACTATCAGTGTCTATCAGTGGAGGAAATGAGGTCAGAGAAACATTATGCAATGAGGATGAGGACAGTGTCAGCAGAGTTCAGGGTCAGGGGTTGGCTTTTCCTTTATGTACCTTTGTCACAGAGCTGAGTGGTAGGGATTTATTCACCTTTATAACAAATCTCTCTCTCTTCTTCTCTCCTTCTCCCTTTGCCTCCCTCGCTCCCTCCAGTGTCCAGGCGGAGCCTTCACCCCTTACATTCAGAGCACCAAGGAGTTCCCTGACGACGTGGTGACGTTTGTCAGGAACCACCCGGTCATGTTCAATCCTATCTACCCCGTGGGTAGGAGGCCCCTGGTGGTCAGAACGCATGCTGACTACAAGTACACCTCCATCGCTGTGGACCAGGTGACCGCCGCAGACGGGCACTACCAGGTCCTCTTCCTGGGCACAGGTTTGTACTCAATAATACATCTTTATTGTTCCATTAGAGACAACTAGCACCCAGTCCCACCACACAACATACACACACCACAGGCTGGGAGCAGCACAGGGCCAAGCCTGTACGTTGCCTACATCAGCACCTAACTAGCTGTTCAGGATGCCTGTTCAGGATCTCTCCTTCAGACTAACATTCTCATATTCCTCGTCTCGCCACTTGTGTTCAACAACCATCAGAGATACGCTTTAAAGAGCTCTGACTAATGCGGTGGGTTACATGAGTGGGATGCTAAGTATAGAGCGTGACATCGTCAATGATAGAGCATCCATGTGCGCTACAGTTGCTAATAGACCTCCAGCCCCCAACATGACAGCCTAAACAGCCTGTTCTCTCTGTCACCAGGGGGTGGCGTTACCACAATGCCCTCACCATAATGCCCTCATTATACATAAACCACTTAATTCCATTATATTCTATGTTGTAATGATCCATCTCTGCTCTCTCGTGCCATAACGCCGGCGTTTCATAAGCAAATGATTATAGAGGGGATATGAACTCTGGTCGTGCTGGGATACAAGATAAGTAGTCTGTCTCGCTCTTCAGTGAATAGAACAATAGACTACACTGTAACGAGCTGCAACAGAGACAAATAGACGTCCAGGAGGGAGATGCAGCCCACTGGGTGAGGTAGAGGTAGAAGAGGAATAGTACAGGTCTGAGTGTGGAGCTGGCTGTAAGTCCTGCATCCCAGGGAGCCTCTCTCCTTTCTCTCACACAGCTGTTTATGTTTATCAGCCTCCCAGTCCTCCAGGATTCCTGAAGACATGCCAGTAATATCAGACTGCAGGGCGGAGAGGCGGGGTCTTTGTTTCAGGGATGTGGAGAGTTTTTTTTATCAGGGATTTCCAGGAGATCTTGCTGTAACTCTCCTCCCTCTGCTCGCTAGCTAACTCCTGGACAAACAGAGTTCCTCCCCTTTCCATGGCCTCTGTCTGTTCTCCTCTCTGTGGGTTCTAAAGCTCACACACCCACAACTGACTTTACTGTGGATGCCGGTCACAGCAGTCATGTTTCATTCAAACCCAAATATGTGCGAGGAGAATAAAGAGCCAGAGCTGTGTTCATTTACTTTTTCATTCTAATTTCACTAGCCACTCTAATTTGGGTCTGTGGTGAGGTTGGTGTGTGTAGGGGTCAGTGCCTGTGAACTGGTTGTCTAATGACTGTCTCCATTCTCTGACATGTATATGGAACTGATAGATGCACACACATACTAAATTACATGTTTTTAAATGTATGTCAATTGTAAAGTATTTTGTCTGTAATGTATTTTTCGTTATGTGTCGGACCCCAGTAAGACTAGCTGTCAACATTGGCATCGGCTAATGGGGATCCTAGTAAATCTAATCAAAATCTGTCTGTGTGTGTGTGACCCGTGTCCCCTCAGACAAAGGGACAGTGCAAAAGGTCATCGCTCTCCCCACAAACCGCTCCCTGGACCAGGATCTGATACTAGAGGAGCTGGAAGTGTTTAAGGTTTGAACTCTCTCTCTCTCTCTCCTCTCTCTCTCTCTCTCTCTCTCACACTCACACTCACACTCACACGACAGACATCAAAGGCAGACAGACTAGGGGCTCTTGGCTTCTTCAGAAAGGGTTGCAGACTGTACTCCTAAGGAAGGGGCATTCAGGAGAGTGATGACCCGGGCACTAGACCACCACACAAGACTAATGGGAAGCATATGGACATTAGAGGGCAATGCCAGTCACCCATACCAACTCTCACACGCGCTGTTTTATCTTAGCCTGATAAACAAAGCAAGTCATCCGTGTGATCAAGGCCCAACCAAGCTTTAATCTCTCTCTGCACCTGGACTACATCGGTCTCCCAGTCTCCCACTAGTGTGGTTTGATGTGTCATAGAGATCTCGCATAGTGTTCCTACTAGTGCTGCGCAGTGGAAGATTGTGTGGTATTCAATAGGATGTTAGATGACCGGAGTGTGAGATGTGAGAGTGTTGATAAAAAGATCCCTCCACAGAATGTAAAGGACCAAAAAGGAATTGCCTAAGATTTACGGTGTGCAACAAGAACTAGCTCAAACACACCTACAGTCTTATGTAATATGATAAGATAAGAACGCTATATAGTCCATTACATTTATGACATAGGGTCACAGCATTTGTTACATAAGATTGTTGACATTTTGCCATCTTTCTCTCTTTTCCAGAACCAAGCTCCAGTGACAAACTTGAGAATATCTTCCAAAAAAGTAAGTATATGCAGTGCTTAATGCATATCAATATTGTTTCAAAATGTTTCTGATTAGCTCATTGCTATTGCCTAGTGCAATAGTTTATTTTCTGCATTAAAATTGTGACTCAGTCGGAAAGCCAACTAATAAGCCATAATTGTCCGTGAGCTTAACTTAATTAAGTCACTCGTCCACTTATTAAAACAAACAGTGTGGTTGACATTTGAACTGTTTTGCCTTGCAGCAACAGCTGTACGTAAGCTCCGAGCATGGCATGTCCCAAGTGTCTCTGCACCGTTGCCATGCCTACGGCTCAGCCTGCGCCGACTGCTGCCTGGCCAGAGACCCCTACTGTGCTTGGGATGGCCTGAGCTGCTCCCGCTTCTACCCCACCGGCAAGAGGTACGGTACTACAGACCCTGGTTTGGGTCAACATCAACAGTACAATACCAGCTGTGAGAAAGGAGCACTTTAAAGCAAACCAAGTGGCACAATTAACATTTTACAGTGTTATTCCATTCTATGGTGCAGTGCAGTCTTATTTTAACCATAAAACATTGGTGCTGAGGACCCAGGTTGTTAAGGGGTACAGTATAGGGCAACACTTCACATAGTTAAGGTGTTATTCATGGGGAATTAGTGGGGAATAAGTACAAGTAATTATACAGCTCTTAGTTGTTTGGTTTTCCCCAAAAATACCAAAAGGTTTTGAGCTAAAGATATGCATACTGCATGCACGTCCTAGCCTGTTACTGTAATTACATAGCTAGGTTATTCCACTGGTATAAGGCAGTGTATTAGGCTGGTTATACAATGTATCTGCAGGTTGTAATCATATTATACACTGCGTATATTCCCACGGGGGGCCAGTATGAAAAAAAACAAGAATAATGTATGCACTCACTAACTGTAAGTCGCTCTGGATAAGAGCGTCTGCTAAATGACTAAAAATGTAAAATGTATACAAAACATACTCTTTCCATGGCAGACTGACCTGGTGAATCAAGGTAAAAGCTATGATCCCTTATTGATGTCACTTGTTAAATCCACTTCAATCAGTGTAGATGAGAGGGAGGAGATGGGTTAAAGAAGGATTTTTATGCCTTGAGACAACTGAGATATGGATTGTGTATGTGTGCCATTCAGAGGGTGAATGGGCAAGACAAAAGATGTAAGTGCCTTTGAGTGGGTGGGGTAGTAGGTGCCAGGCGCACCGGTTTGTGTCAAGAACTGCAACACAGCTGGGGTTTTCACGCTCAACAGTTTCCTGTGTGTATAAATAATGGTCCACCACCCAAAGGACATCCCAAATGACTGTGTATACACCATGTATTCTTGAATTGATCCAACCATAGCCATAACACAGCCGTAGCACAGTGAGTGATACCTTTCTACTTTGAACAGTCCCCTCCTCTGGTTTCCCTCCTCGCCGGCTGCTCGGCTGCCATTACAGTCAACCGCAGTTCAAGTTTAGCTTGGTTAGGGAACAGAGGCTCTGCCCCCTTACTCCTCAGAAAATCTGCTGGAAATGTGCCTGCTGTTGAAGCTCTCTCTCCCTGTAGATGTTGGATGGGAGATGACTGAACCATACAGTGGAATAATACTGTCAAATGTTCCTCACACCGCTGTGTCTGGCTCAAAGTGGTCCTTCCTAACTGTTGATATTATGGGATTTTAGAGATTTTCATAATGGGCTGGAGGGTTGGAATAACAGGGTTTCAAAGCTACTGGGCTTTGTGAAATGTATGTATTCTCCAACTAGTTTATGTAGGCACTGAAACTAGATATACAATATATTTGGCAGGATTCAACGGTTAGGCCCACTAATATAGGGTACTGTATTGTGGCATTGGAAATATTTATTTATGGTTTCTATACAGAAGGAGCAGAAGACAGGACATCATCCATGGCAACCCACTGACTCAGTGCAGAGGATTCAACCTGAAAGGTATGACAACATCCAGCCAACGTGCACCAAATGTCTGAGAAGCTCACAGCTCTGTTGAATTGGCCAACAGAGGGCATTGGTGTGCTGACTCATTTGCTAGTCTATACCAGCTGTACTCATTTTACTCTAAAAGGGTCAACATAGATTCTGTTGGTTTATGGGTCATTTGAGTTCAGGCCCTCTCATGGTTCAGCAGCCGGTGCATAGTGTTTTACTGTATAGTCCCTGTGTGTGTGTGTGTGTGTGTGTGTGTGTGAACAGACTGTACAGAGATGATTCACACAGTCAGCTGTCGGCAAGCGGTCTAACAAGGGGAGGAGCTACGGTCCCCAGAGTGCTACATTCCAGTATAAGTCTGTGTAAATGAACATGTGTCATGGGACTAAACCATATGGTCATTGGTGCTAATTAGTGTATACCCTGTCATCCATCCAGCATGGGGATGAGCTCATTGGCTGGGACATAAACATCAGATGACAATGCTGACAGTTAAAGACCAGGTCAACCAAGCTTGTTCTACAATACAGATATGAAGTGCATCTCAGTCGGAATACAATCTGACAAACAAGCATGCTTGGGGGATAATCTTAACTTGAGTGAAATGTTCACTTCATCATACATTGAAGTCAATGGGAGACTAAGTGAAAAGTTAAGTTAGGATTCTCCTCCTAGTGACTGGGAGGGTTTGGTTGTACTGCAGGTGTCCCTAACCCTCAGGTCAACTTTTGACCCTGACTGTTGAAAGTCTTGGGATGTACATCATCCAGCTGTGTGGTTTATGTCTGTCAGCGAATTGATGTGTGTGTGTGTGAACTGCCCTTGTTTCAGCGTACAGGAACGCGGTGGAGATTACCCAATATGGGGTGAAGAACAACACCACCTTCCTAGAGTGTCTTCCTAAGTCCCCCCAGGCCTCCGTCCGCTGGCTCATCCACAGAGACAATGACAGAAGGAAAGAGGTCAGACAACTTCCAGAGTCAACGTTAATTGAGAAGCTGGGTTGAACCATAGAAATCGAATGATTCATTCTATGTGTTCAACATCAGAGCTGGCTCAATTGGTTCAATTCCGAGGCATCCTTTTTCCTCAGTCAGTAACACACGGGACAGACTGAGTCCAAAGGCTGTTGGTGGACTATTACGATATCAAACACATCATCACAATCAAATTATTGTGTCGAATGCCTTGATCTAGTTGGATCTACACTACCAGTCAAACGTTTGGACACACCTACTCATTCAATGGTTTTACTTTATTTTTTACTATTTTTTTACATTGTAGAATAATAGTGAAGACATCAAAACTATGAAATAACACATATGGAATCATGTAGTAAACAGAAAAGTCTTAAACAAATCAAAATATATTTTATATTTGAGATTCTTCAAATAGCCACCCTTTGCCTTGATGAAAGCTTGGCACACTCTTGGCATTCTTTCAACCAGCTTCATGAGGTAGTCACCTGGAATGTATTTCAATTGCACTGTCGGAGCTAGAAGCACAAGCATTTCGCTACACCCGCAATAACATCTGCTAAACACGTGTATGTGACAAATTTTATTTTATTTGAATTAACAGGTGTGCCTTAAGTTAATTTGTGGAATTTCTTTCCTTCTTAATGTGTTTGAGCCAATCAGTTGTGTTGTGACAGGGTGGGGTGGGGGGGGGTATACAGAAGATAGCCCTATTTGGTAAAAGACCAAGTCCATATTATGGCAAGAACATCTCAAATAAGCAAAGAGAAACGACAGTCCATCATTACTGTAAGACATGAAGGTCAGTCAATCCAGAACATTTCAAGAACTTTTAAGAAGTTTCTACAAGTACAGTCACCAAAACCATCAAGCGCTATGATGAAACTGGCTCTCATGAGGACCGCCACAGATTGACCCAGAGTTACCTCAGAAATTGTAGCCCAAATAAATGCTTCACAGAGTTGAAGTAACAGACACTTCTCAACATCAACTGTTCAGAGGAGACTGTGTGAATCAGGCCTTCATGGTCGAATTGCTACAAAGAAACCACTACTAAAGAGACTTCCTTGGGCCAAGAAACATGAGCAATGGACATTAGACCAGTGGATATTTGTCCTTTGGTCTGGAGTCCAAATTGGAGATTTTTGGTTCCAACCGCTGTTTCTTTGTGAGACGCGATGTGGGTGAACAGATGATCTCCGCATGTATAGTTCCCACCGTAAAGCATGAAGGAGGAGGTGTTATGGTGTGGGGGTGCTTTGCTGGTGACACTGTCTATGATTTATTTACAATTCAAGGCACACTTAACCAGCATGGCTACCACAGCATTTTGCAGCGATACGCCATCCCATCTGGTTTGGGCTTAGTGGGACTATCATTTGTTTTTCAACAGGACAATGATCCAGGCTGTGTAAGGGCTATTTTACTAAGAAGGAGAGTGATGGAGTGCTGCATCAGATGACCTGGCCTCCACAATCCCCCGTCCTCAACCCAATTGAGATGGTTTGGGATGAGTCTGATCGCAGAGTGAAGGAAAAGCAGCCAACAAGTGCTCAGCATATGTGGGAACTCCTTCAAGACTGTTGGAAAAGCATTCCAGGTGAAGCTGGTTGAGATAATGCCAAGAGTGTGCATAGCTGTCTTCAAGGCAAAGGGTGGCTACTTTGAAGAATCTCAAATATATTTGTTTAACACTTTTTTGGTTACTACATGAGTCCATATGTGTTATTTCATAGTTTTGATGTCTTCGCTATTATTCTACAATGTAGAAAATAGTAAAAATAAAGAAAAACCCTGGAATGAGTAGGTGTGTCAACTTTTGACTGGTACTGTATATCAAGGCATTCAACACAATCATTCGACTGTGATGACGTGTTTGAAATAGCATCAGACCACTAACATGTCACGCCTCGGGATGACATTGCAAAGTGTTTTATTGGCGGTGTAACAAGATAATGAGTAGTGATATACTGTAGATCAGATATGATATGGGACCTAATTAATGAGTCCATTCTCAACAGGGGAAACATTTCACAAATAACTGACACCCTCTAAAACTGTTACTGCTCCCAATCAGGCCATTACAAATTATATGGGGCTGCGCAAAGAGAGCACCTGCTCTTTGATAAAGATTAACATATTTTACAGATTTGACAGTTGTTTATAGCTCATGCATAATATTTCTATCAGAGATTCTATGAGAATGAGTATTCCAGGTGAACTGTTTAAAGACGTCCTCCAGCAATTTTTGACCTTTTACTATTGAAAAGCGATATCCCCAGTATACATACAGTAAAGGACACATTAAAGGGTAAAAAAAAATGTGACCGACCGGCTTGATTCGGTCTTATGTAGCAAAATTTGAAATTGTGTTTTTTACATTGGATAAAACACTACAGTTGAGGAACAATGGGAAAGTAATTCTGCTTTGAAAGTTGATAAACTTGTAACCTCACTTTTGAGAAAATGGCCCTTGAATGTTTTGGTATCTACTGGAAAGCTCTTCTTTGTCTACACCCATTCAGCATCGTTCACACCCTTTTAAACTTTCGACCCACCCATCTCTTGAAGGATTCACATGTGAGGCTATGTACTAAACAACCAAGATTTCAAGAATAAAGGCTGGTTTATACTACGGGTGTGTTCGTAAATGTAATCTGCCAGAGTGTGCTCTGGGCGTTCGTAATTTCAGAGCGTTGTCAGATTGGCCGTTTGTAAATTCTGAGCGTTTCCCTCTTGGAGCGCACACTGGACACTCTGGCCGAAAAGTAGGGTTGATCCGAGCGTTCTGACCTAACAACAGCAGTCAAGCACCCAAGCTAACTGGCTAGCGTTGGCTAGCTTGCTAGCTACTTCCAGACACAAATGAGAGAACAGCTCACTCTGACCATTTTACTCACCCTAGCAGAGCTGGTTAGGCTGTCTTTATGTTATCCGGAGTGTTGGTGACTGCAACGTTTACTGACACCGGCCATATTCAACGGGTGTTGAGTGTTCGTAAATTTGTCAGTTATTCTGCGCTCTGGCACACTCAGACGAGAGTGCTCTGAAATCAGAGTAGATAGCCAGAGCGAATTCACCAGCTACATCTATCGACAGGTGTCGCAGTGACATCATAAACATTCTATGGAAATAGTTACTTGCATAGTGGAGTCTTGTTTAGACATGTAGCTAGCTAGCTAAACAATTAACCATTATCCCAACTCATAACATTACTACCCTGCATTAATCTGCAGGTAGCTAACCAACCAGGTTCAATGTTAGCTAGCTAACATTAGGCTATAACTAGTAATGCAAATGGCTCTGAGATACGAATAATATTACTACACAGATCATACATGTAACATTAGCTAGCTAGCCAGCTAACTTTAGCTAGCTAGCTAACAGTACACTTTAACTTCCGGAGCTTTCTGTGTTCTCTTTTCGACTCCGTCTGCATATTTGCAATCAAACGCCACAATTTTCTCCATCTCCTTAGCTATCATACTCTAATTCCACTGATTTTCAAAACTCGGTCCTCCAGAAAGTGGAGAGCAACACTTATGCAGTTCTACTACGTGATATCTTTCAAAAAGTCCCCTGTAGCTCAGTTGGTAGAGCATGGCGCTTGCAACGCCAGGTTTGTGCGTTCGTTTCCCATGGGGGGCCAGTATGAAAATGTATGCACTCACTAACTGTAAGTCGCTCTGGATAAGAGTGTCTGCTAAATGACTAAAATGTAAAAAAGCCACTTTAGAAAGGATTACCAACAGTGAGGGAAAAAAGTATTTGATCCCCTACTGATTTTGTACGTTTGCCCACTGACAAAGACATGATCAGTCTATAATTTTAATGGTAGGTTTATTTGAACAGTGAGAGACAGAATAACAACAAAAAAATCCAGAAAAACGCATGTCAAAAATGTTATAAATTGATTTGCATTTTAATGAGGGAAATAAGTATTTCACCCCTCTGCAAAACATGACTTAGTACTTGGTGGCAAAACCCATGTTGGCAATCACAGAGGTCAGCAGTTTCTTGTAGTTGGCCACCAGGTTTGCACACATCTCAGGAGGGATTTTGTTCCACTCCTCTTTGCAGATCTTCTCCAAGTCATTAAGGTTTCGAGGCTGACGTTTGGCAACTCAAACCTTCAGCTCCCTCCACAGATGTTCTATGGGATTAAGGTCTGGAGACTGGCAAGGCCACTCCAGGACCTTAATGTGCTTCTTCTTGAGCCACTCCTTTGTTGCCTTGGCCGTGTGTTTTGGGTCATTGTCATGCTGGAATACCCATCCACGACCCATTTTCAATGCCCTGGCTGTAGGATGGAGGTTCTCACCCAAAATTTGACGGTACATGGCCCCGTCCATCGTCCCTTTGATGCGGTGAAGTTGTCCTGTCCCCTTAGCAGAAAAACACCCCCAAAGCATAATGTTTCCACCTCCATGTTTGACGGTGGGGCAGCATTCCTTCTCCTACAAACACGGCGAGTTGAGTTGATGCCAAAGAGCTCGATTTTGGTCTCATCTGACCACAACACTTTCACCCAGTTCTCCTCTGAATCATTCAGATGTTCATTGGCAAACTTCAGACGGCCCTGTTTTTTGTGCTGTCTTGAGCAGGGGGACCTTGCGGGCGCTGCAGGATTTCAGTCCTTCACGGCGTAGTGCGTTACCAATTGTTTTCTTGGTGACTATGGTCCCAGCTGCCTTGAGATCATTGACAAGATCCTCCCGTGTAGTTCTGGGCTGATTCCTCACCGTTCTCATGATCATTGCAACTCCACGAGGTGAGATCTTGCATGGAGCCCCAGGCCGAGGGAGATTGACAGGTCTTTTGTGTTTCTTCCATTTGCGAATAATCACACCAACTGTTGTCACCTTCTCACCAAGCTGCTTGGCGATGGTCTTGTAGCCCATTCCAGCCTTGTGTAGGTCTGCAATCTTGTCCCTGACATCCTTGGAGAGCTCTTTGGTCTTGGCCATGGTGGAGAGTTTGGAATCTGATTGATTGATTGCTTCTGTGGACAGGTGTCTTTTATACAGGTAACAAGCTGAGATTAGGAGCACTCCCTTTAAGAGTGTGCTCCTAATCTCAGCTCGTTACCTGTATAAAAGACACCTGGGAGCCAGAAATCTTTCTGATTGAGAGGGGGTCAAATACTTATTTCCCTCATTAAAATGCTAATCAATTTATAACATTTTTGACATGCGTTTTTCTGGATTTTTTTGTTGTTATTCTGTCTTTCACTGTTCAAATAAACCTACCATTAAAATGATAGACTGATCATTTCTTTGTCAGTGGGCAAACGTACAAAATCAGCAGGGGATCAAATACTTTTTTTCCCTCACTGTACACAAACTGACCAGCTCATATTATAGACAGAAGCTGTTACATGGTAGACCAATCCGAACTCATCTCTCGGCATGTCCAGCCCACTCATTATCTCTGCCAATCATGGCTAGCGGGAAGGTTGCTGTCTTTTTCCATGGCTAAACCAACTAGGCTTGTAATTATTACTTTTTTTTATTCGTATTTACAGATGGCATACAACTTTGTTATGAAGGCACATGAAAGTTCACATACAGTAAATCCAGTGTTCAATTAGGTGAAAAGGAGACTGGAGTGCCACTTTAAGTCGATTTGTCTTGGCTCGATTTACTTGACTATAGATCATGGTGTGGTATAATGTGTTATGATATAGGTAATTTAAGACCATGCTGCTGACACCTCTCTTTCCCCCTTCCAGGTGAAGCTGGGTGACCGTTTGGTCACCACTGACCATGGCCTGCTCATCCGCTCCGTCCAGCTGTCCGACCAGGGCCTGTACTACTGCCTGGCCACGGAGAACACCTTCAAGCGCACCGTGGCCAAGATCCGCCTGCGTGTCCTGAGTGAGGCCATGGTGTCGGTGCTGATGGACAAGCAGCAGTCTCCCTGGGCCTGGGCCAGCACCCTGCACCCCAAGGCTCTGCTCTCAGCTTTCAGCCCTGCAGAGAGCCTGGCCATACAGCAGTACTGTAAGGAGAGGAAGCAGCTCCAGAGCCTGCAGGGGGCCCAGCAGCAGGGGCCGAGGGGAGGGCCTCCTCTCCGGGGAGACATGGCCAAGCTCAAGCCCCTGCTAGACCGCAGGAAGAGCCGCAACCGCAGGAACCACCTGGAACTGCCTGATGATGTCTGACTGGAGGAGACAAGGGGTTAACAGGGCTGTGGAGAGGGGGGTATACATGAACACACACACCTGGCCACACACACACACACACACAACCCCCGATCTCCTGCCCTGCCCAAAGGCAATGGACCTGAACTGCACGCTTCCCCAGCTCCACCTAGGCTACTGAAGGTTTACAAGGAGGAAGTGGGAGTGGGACTCACCCTGCCTGGGGCTGTCTGTAGTCTTATATGCATGAGGTACGCTGACCAGATGACTGTGATATACATACACACCTCACATCCTGTCACACTCGCCATTTAGACAGAGGTGTAAGCACTGACCCTGGATCAGGACACATGAAGATGTGTGGATTTAGACATCAGGTTCAGGTGTTGTAGGTTACATACACAGGATGACTTACTGCATTCACTGCTGCTCCCAAAGATGTATGATAATACTTGCCACACATATATACTGTAGTCATGCTATACTGTAGGCAATGGTCTAATAGCAGTATTGTAGTATATTGCACTGTAGACATTTACAGAATGGGGAAATGTATCAGGCAGCATGTAATGGCTTAATATGGATGGATGTCTGGTCCAAGGAGAACAAACCTGGAGTTACAGATGGTAAAGATTGTGATTGAGTAGGGAAATCATTGGCATTTTGATTTGCATATCCGAGAGGGATGTTTTATAGGGAGCACCCTAGCTGTTTACACTCTGCTCTGCAACTATACATTGAGTCATATTCAGATAATATTCATCTATATGAACACTGTTTACAACTAACACATATTACAGCTTTACATTTGACAAAACAATAGGGCTATCATCAAGATCAAAACAAATCTCTCATTGTATGAACCGTTTCTATGTACACCTTGTAGCTCTGTCTCTATGGAGAAACTCTATCCCGTCTAACACCAGATAAAATAGCAACACTGTCTATACAAAGGGCATATTGTCCATACTAAGTGGTCCCAATAAAAATATTCCAGCCTTGGAAATTAAAACATAGTGGCTAGGCCAAAGTACACCTCCAGCTCAGCTGCCACCCATATGGACAGTACCATTACACTAGAACATGTAGCACTGTGTGAGCAAAGATACTTTGTTTGGAGGGATTCTGCTCAATTTATTACAGGAACACAGGCAAGACTACCCTGCATGTTCACAATCCTTACTCAGTCATTTTATAAACATCACGTTTAATAGGACAAAGGTAATGTAAAATGTTAGGTCACAGCATCCTTCTTCTTTCCTGTATTTATTCACCTTACTTGGAAGATTATGATGTTCTTAAATGGTACGGGACATTGACAAGAAGTGTGCCATACAGTACAAGTATCTATTTCATAGTGTATGATACTGTGTTGTGTTTTCAGCACATAAGCATGTTAATGTATATAAAATCCTTCTAAACTTTGTGGCTATTTGCAATACATCGCTGGATTGGTTTTATACCACTGGAGTATAGCAGTCACAGACATCCTAGCTTTTGTATTCAGGTACAGACATGTATACACACCTGATTTTGGGGTTTGCATTTTCTTGATCCATGATTTGATAAGGAGATATATATATATATCATCTCCTTACTGAGTTTTAATTTCACGTACAGCAAGGCAGACATGCATGATCAAAAAGAATCATGATGACCATTTAACTTGAATATCATTTTAATCATTTTGAATAATGCATTAAATTCACAGTTTGTGAGATGGTCAGATTGGCATTCTCTGTTTATATAGTGTGAATATCTCTTTCCTGTTTGTCTCAGAAGTATAGTCTGTGTAGATATAGTCATGGTTGGGATGTGTACAGAGATTTTTCATTCTATGTTTTCATCATTGTAACTTATGTCATTGTGTCCAGTTTTTGTGGCTCTGTGCTTTTGAATGTGACCCTAGTGTATATAATTAACATATTTCATCAAATATTCTTGACCGTATCTGCAAATCGTAGAGATATATTTTAGTTTTGACAAAATATTTTTTGAAGGTCTGGCTTTTCCTTAACATAAATCTCTAGACTGATGACTCATTTTAAGTTTTGAGATCATTTCAACCTTTTAACGAAGAAGTTGAAGTGTCGTCTTAGTGAATGTCTATGTTCAATGTCATTTCCATGTTATCATGAAACTTGTGTATGTCTATTTATTGATGTAATGACAGCCTGAATAAATGCATTTAAAAACTACTTTGAATTTCATACATTTTGGTTGTAAGTAGTCCTAGATTAATCTGACAGGGGAGTCACCATATTTCACTTCAGATGTGATACACTTTCACCGTCTACAGTCATGCTTAGGAATTACATATTTATTTAATGTATGAAATTCACAGGAGGTTGGTGGCACCTTAATTGGGGAGGACGGGCTTGTGGTAATGGCTGGAGCGGAATAGGTGGAATGTATCAAACACATGGTTTCCATGTGTTTGATGCCATTCCATTCACTTCATTCCAGCCATTATTATGAGCAATCCTCCCCTCAGCAGCCTCCACTGATGAAATTGCATTATGAATTAAAACAATCACATTACTGTACTATTGGCTAGATATTTGCTGTGTTCATGTGCTAGTCGGAACTAGGAAACGTACATTTCCGTCTTGCTAACTGGTTGACCGCGCACGTGTATAATAACTACAACCAGTTAGCAAGTCAGAAATGTCAGTTTCCTAGTTCCGACTAGCACATGAACGTGGCATTAATACTGAGAATGAGGTCAGGGGTCACTTCTGAGGAATTCTAGGTAGGAAGAAGCTGCCCATGCAAACGGAGTGGATCTGGGAAACGGAAACGGGTAAGAATTCTGGGAAACAGTGTAATGACTCCAAGTGATGGCTGAATATATTTACAATGTGATTTATTATGTACCCACAAGTTTAAATACTTGATAAATTATACTTAGGCCTGGCCTACTTTCCTTCAGAATATTTCAATGAAGATATCAGTAGCTGCTGTTGAAACTAGCATTGAATATTGGTTAGTTTCCGTTTGTAGATTCGTATTCAGCATTTAATATTCATTTTCAAACAGCCACACATCTTAGAACATATGGCTTAGAAAGAAAATGGTCGCCTTACAGAGTGCACTGGTGCAGAGAAGGCGAGAGAGCTGAGGAGTATGAAGGCAAGTAAAGATGTCTCCTTCAATCTCAATGAAACACTTTCCTCTGTTACTGTACTCTCCAGACTAACAGAGGTATCAAAGAGCCCCGGGAACCAGCAGATGGTTATTTAAAACCCCATAAAACTAAGAGAGGGTTCCTGCTGGGCAAAAACAGTGCTTTCTCACCAAACAAACCCAAGTGCCATGCAGAAACCACAGAATAACCATCCGTATGGGGGTGTTTTCACTATCATTTTGATTTACGGGCCACATGAGGTGAAAGGGAAACTGAATAATTTGGCTTCAAATGTACAATAGAGCGGTTTATTCCAGCAATGAGAGAACCTAAGCTGGTTACTTCCCATGGGGATGTGGACCAGTTTTGCTAGACTCATGCCATGTTCATAACCTTAGTTAAGACCCCTTGAGAAGCAGGGTATCATAAAACAATTACTTTACTTCCTCCCCGTTCCTGCCTCCATTGATATTCATAGCTCAACTTCAGTGTGAGCCAAGATTAAGCTGAATACATTTGAATCAGCATTGATTTATTTTTATTGGAGTCATGAATGTTAGCTACATGAATGTTACAGCAATTTCAACCACTGTATATTCTAGCTTTCAAGATCCCTGACCAAAATCTAGCAGCGAGGTGTGTGCAAATCAAATTACAATTACATGAAAGAACAGTTTATAATAATTTTTACAAGAAAATGTACATTCTAACTCACACAATGCCTACAATATATATTTACGTTGTAAATAACATTGAAATTAAGAGATGTGCATGAAAGTTAGTACACTGATATCCGTGTACCCGCGCTGTTCCTCTGTTGTACAGCTGCATTGTCCCTCTCACGCAAGCTTGTTGTCGTTTCTGCTTACCAAACAATGGGCCACTATGCAGAGTACAAAGGCTGATAACCCTAAGCCTATCAGTGTGAACTGCACCGTCTCCAGCATGTCAATACGAGATAACAGCTCCTTCTTAAACCTGTCTGCTGTCTCGTCATCCAGGGATGCCGTCTGCAGAAACAGACAGTCATTGAGGTATAGCATTTACAGAAACGAGAGGTTATATACTTAGGAAATACTTAGGGAATATGCAATAACAAAGGCAAGTTAAAGCTTTAGAAGTAAGACCTGGCAGCAGTAAATACAACTCAAATGACTTACCTCGTTTAGCCAAACTATAGGGAATATGGTGTAATCCTTCACTTTCTTTAACACCCTGGAGAATATGTAATGAGAGAGAGATGTTATTGGATGAGTGTCTGTATATACAATAGTAAAGTACAGGAAAATTATAGACCAAGACATTAAACCTACGTGATGATCTTGGAGGGGCCATACATCATGTTCACCTGCAGTCTCTTAGCGAACCTCAGACTGAACCCTGTGGTCTGACAGAAACAAACAAACACCAAATCAAATCAGACTCACATTTATTCCCACAGCAATTAGGCCTACTGTACTGTACATGCCAGGAACAGACAATTCCAGCCGCAATTCCAGCCTTTAGCCCACACAGCATGTTACAGCAACCCATGGTGGTGTGTGTTTCTGTCTGTGGGTGTATGTAGGTCCCCTGTCAAAATCAAAATAGATGCAAATGCAAAAGGGTGTAGCTTATTAAGAGGCCAGCACATGAATACCATGTGTGCTAAGACTTGCTATTTTTTGGGGAGCGTTAGCATATGACAGATGACTGCATAGTGCCCTCTAAGCTCATCACTAAGCTAAGGATCCTGGGACTAAACACCTCCCTCTGCAACTGGATCTTGGACTTCCTGACGGGCCGCCCCCAGGTGGTAAGGGTAGGTAACAACACATCTGCCACACTGATCCTCAACACGGGGGCCCCTCAGGGGTGTGTGCTCAGTCCCCTCCTGTACTCTCTGTTCACCCATGACTGCATGGCCAGGCACGACTCCAACACCATCATTAAGTTTGCCGACGACACAACAGTGGTAGGCCTGATCACCGACAACGATGAGACAGCCTATAGGGAGGAGGTCAGAGATCTGGCCGTGTGGTGCCAGGACAACAACCTCTCCCTCAACGTGACCAAGACAAAGGAGATGATTGTGGACTACAGGAAAAAAAAGAGGACTGAGCACGCCCCCATTCTCATCGACGGGGCTGTAGTGGAACAGGTTGAGAGCTTCAAGTTCCTTGGTGTCCACATCACCAACGAACTATCATGGTCCAAACACACCAAGACAGTCGTGAAGAGGGCACGACAAAGCCTATTCCCCCTCAGGAGACTAAAAAGATTTGGCATGGGTCCTCAGATCCTCAAAAAATTCTACAGCTGCACCATCGAGAGCATCCTGACTGGTTGCATCACCGCCTGGTATGGCAACTGCTTGGCCTCCGACCGCAAGGCACTACAGAGGGTAGTGCGTACGGCCCAGTACATCACTGGGGCAAAGCTTCCTGCCATCCAGGACCTCTATACCAGGCGGTGTCAGAGGAAGGCCCTCAAAATTGTCAAAGACTCCAGCCACCCTAGTCATAGACTGTTCTCTCTGCTACCGCACGGCAAGCGGTACCGGAGTGCCAAGTCTAGGTCCAAAAGACTTCTCAACAGCTTCTACCCCCAAGCCATAAGACTCCTGAACAGCTAATCATGGCTACCCGGACTATTTGCACTGCCCCCCCACCCCATCCTTTTTACGCTGCTGCTACTCTGTTAAGTATTTATGCATAGTCACTTTAACTCTACCCACATGTACATATTACCTCAACTACCTCAACTAGCCGGTGCCCCCGCACATTGACTCTGCAACGGTACCCCCCTGTATATATAGCCTCCCTACTGTCACTTTATTTTACTTCTGCTCTTTTTTTCTCAACACTTTTTTTTTGTTGTTTTATTTTTACTTTTTTTGTTTAAAATAAATGCACTGTTGGTTAAGGGCTGTAAGTAAGCATTTCACTGTAATGTCTGCACCTGTTGTATTCGGCGCATGTGACCAATACAATTTGATTTGATTTGATTTGATTTGAGTTGATTTGATTTAGTTGGGAAGGTCATTTGACATATCCTAGAGGTCAGAGGTTAAAGGTGAATGGATGCAGGGCTCTCACCGGTTCCACATCCAGGAACGTGACGTGATGCTCCTCACTAGGACTAAGGCCCTCCACATCTTCAACCAGGTATGGACTACCATGCAGGAAGTGGGGCAGGGAGATGTAGACTGGTTGTCCTGGTTGAGAAAATCAAAGATGGACCTGGTACTGTATACAGTACATGCATACAGTATGTGTAGAACCAACAGTTTCCCTGACCAGGAAAAACTCTGGGACCTGCTTGTAGTCCAATGGAACTGCAGTAAATGCTATGTGCTATTAACCCTAATTGCTCATGTAAGTCTCTCTGGATAAGAGCGTCTGCTAAAATGACTAAAATATAAATGTATTAGAATTCTGTGCCATTCATACAGTGCTAATAGATAATTAGATCCTATTATGATATTTATTCGCTGATGCCCAGCAGTGCAGGAACCAGTTAGTGATTGTTGCCTGTATCCCTTACCGCGAGCGGCGCTGATGTCCAGGACTCCGGCCAATGTGCAGTTCTTAGTGACCACAGAGTCCGTGCAGAAGCACTGGTTGTCTGGGTTGACTGCAGGGGAGGCTAAGGTGAGCGGGGGTAGTTTGAACCGGTACACCTCGATCCCCTTCAGGTTCAGGCTCCTCTCATACTCAGCCGACACAGACCTGAAGACATTGAAGAACAGTGCTGTTAGGAGACAAGGCTCTTTGTTTTTGCCGGGGCCTGACCTCTTGTGGTCATTATTAGAACTACTCTGAGATGCTCGATGCAAATGGCCCCAGATCTGACTAAAGTGTATTTGAATATTAGGCCAAAGGACATAGTGAAGAGTCCCTTCCAGACTTCAAGGGGGATGATAAACAAGTAGTAAATGCTTATTGGCTGTATGATGGCAATGAACAGGATTAAAGCTGATAGAATTTGCCTTACAGATTAGGGCCACTGCAAAACATAATCAGTTATAATTTCCACTTGTCTTCGTAACACCAGTCTACATTAGATCTGAACATTACTATCCACCCCAATATGTAAATGAAGATCACTCCACCTGGTGATGTCAGAGGAGAAGAAGTACAGAGGCTTCTTCTTATCCAGGAAGGGAGAGAATGACGAGCCATCTGGTGAAATATATAAGATAGTCAGAACGGTAAAGAACATCATTTAGAATTTCATATATTAACCATGAGAGTATGAGATGACTTAGTAATGATTCTCAAGTATTCTTAATTGGTTTTAAATGTTTTGGTTACGTGATGATAGAGTAAAATGTAATTCAACAAGACAGTGATGCAATGCAAGTTGTCTGCTGCCTGGCTATTTGGGTGACTGTACCTGTGCCGTTGATCATGTCGCAGTATGTGTCCTTCCAGAAAGACACCTTCCTATTAGAGAGAAATGGGCTCATCAGTAAAGCCATCAGTTATTGGGTAATATGACCCAGACACACAACTACCTACAATCAGGGGCGGACTGGGACAATAAATTGGCCCTGGCATTTCAAACACAACGGCCCATTTATTTTCCTTGAGGCCCCCATACCAACAAATTTTTTTTCTTTGAGGCCCCCATTATTAGTCAGATAATTATTTTGGGCAAGAAAAACTAGTTAGACAGGCCCACTAGGCTAAAAATTGACCAGCCCATCTGGCATTTGCCCAAAATACCAAATGGCCAGTCCACACCTGCCTACAATCACCAAAGACCTGTGGCTTTACATGGTTTGCCGGGAGAGTTCTACAGATGATGCTGCATGACATAATGTCATTAGACTGAATTGACAATATTGGCAATTCCACAGTAACAGACTCAGATTTTACACTTTAAAATGTAGGCCAAACAAAAAACATTGATTTAAAAGTTTAACAAACCATGCAACTCTATGCACAAGGACTACTTTGAACAATGTATACAGAAAATGTCACAAAAACACATTTACTAGAAGAACTGTGCAGATGCACATTTTGGTAACAGAATTACGGTAAAATGTGGCCACTTTTTCCAAAAAATATGTTATATATCAAAGATGTCTGCAGAAAGAATGGGGTGTCAGCTATGACATGACACCTGGAGTTTATTTATTTTTTATTTGGGTTATTGAAATTACAGTAGATTAAGTGGATTTACATCCGGTTACGGAATAACGGTAAGATAATTACATCATGGGCCCCTGTTATGATATGGGGGGGAGGTTAGTAAGTACTCATTGCTCAATTTTCGATTCCACCCTCACAACTCTCCATCAACTTTAGTGTGTTGAGGTTCAAGAAAGACTCACTTTTCCCCCTGCCAACTGTCAATGATAGACACTTTAGAGATGTCATCCTTGCCTGTGAAGACCCTGTATGGCCCATCATAGGTACCATTGTACTGAGGAAACAGCACACCACATCATGGAACAGTTAGGTAGCTACAACTCAAAAGGGTTTTACAACAATACATTTGATTAAGTTATTCTCACATTTTCAGTGAATGTCACATAAATAATGTAGATTAGTATTTTGGAATAATGTACATATTCAAATAAATAAAGGATTTGTATTATTCTATATAGGGAAGGTGTATGAAAATGATATGCAGGTGAGCTTACAGGAAAAAAGAGGCCCAGTGTCCCTTTCAGAATGGGGTCTTTGTAACCCCAGAGTATTTCCCTCACTGTGCGTCGCTGGAACAGTGAGACATTGTTTAACTTTATTGCAGCTTCCAGTACCCATGGGGGAAACAACTTGTACCCACCCTGAAAGGAAGGAGAAGAAAAATGAAGTTGTATTTTCATTGTTCAAAACGAGTACATTACACAATGTCAGTACACGTGCATATTACTGCTTCCCCAGCTCATACAGATAGAGGATTACAACAACAACGTTTTATGACTGATATGGTGACATGCGAGAGAGGGCTGTGTCCTACAAATTGCTGTATTATTGCCTCTAGCATTATAGAGCATTGAACATATAGGATACAAAAGTCCCAATCTGGTACAGTGAGGGAAAAAAGTATTTGATCCCCTGCTGATTTTGTACGTTTGCCCACTGACAAATAAATAATCAGTCTATAAATGTAATGGTAGGTTTATTTGAAAAGTGAGAGACAGAATAACAACAACAAAAATCCAAAAAACGCATGTCAGAAATGTTATAAATTGATTTCTATTTTAATGAGGGAAATAAGTATTTGACCCCTCTGCAAAACATGACTTAGTACTTGGTGACAAAACCCTTGTTGGCAATCACAGAGGTCAGACGTTTCTTGTAGTTGGCCACCAGGTTTGCACATATCTCAGGAGGGATTTTGTCCCACTCCTCTTTGCAGATCTTCTCCAAGTCATTAAGGTTTCGAGGCTGACTTTTGGCAACTCGAACTTTCAGCTCCCTCCACAGATTTTCTATGGGATTAAGGTCTGGAGACTGGCTAGGCCACTCCAGGACCTTAATGTGCTTCTTCTTGAGCCACTCCTTTGTTGCTTTGGCCGTGTGTTTTGGGTCATTGTCATGCTGGAATACCCATCCACGACCCATTTTCAATGCCCTGGCTGAGGGAAGGAGGTTCTCACCCAAGATTTGACGGTACATGGCCCTGTCCATCATCTCTTTGATGCGGTGAAGTTGTCCTGTCCCCTTAGCAGAAAAACACCCCCAAAGCATAATGTTACCACCTCCATGTTTGACGGTGGGGATGGTGTTCTTGGGGTCGTAGGCAGCATTCCTCCTCCTCCAAACACGGCAAGTTGAGTTGATGCCAAAGAGCTCCATTTTGGTCTCATCTGACCACAACACTTTTACCCAGTTCTCCTCTGAATCATTCAGATGTTCATTGGCAAACTTCAGACGGGCATGTATATGTGCTTTCTTGAGCAGGGGGACCTTGCGGGCGCTGCAGGATTTCAGTCCTTCACAGCGTAGTGTGTTACCAATTGTTTTCTTGGTGACTATGGTCCAAGCTGCCTTGAGATCATTGACAAGATCCTCCCGTGTAGTTCTGGGCTGATTCCTCACCGTTTTCATGATCATTGCAGCTCCACGAGGTGAGATCTTGCATGGAGCCCCAGGCCGAGGGAGATTGACAGTTATTTTGTGTTTCTTCCATTTGCGAATAATCGCACCAACTGTTGTCACCTTCTCACCAAGCTGCTTGGCGATGGTCTTGTAGCCCATTCCAGCCTTGTGTAGGTCTACAATCTTGTCCCTGGCATTCTTGGAGAGCTCTTTGGTCTTGGCCATGATGGAGAGTTTGGAATCTGATTGATTGATTGCTTCTGTGGACAGGTGTCTTTTATACAGGTAACAAGCTGAGATTAGGAGCACTCCCTTTAAGAGTGTGCTCCTAATCTCAGCTCGTTACCTGTATAAAAGACACCTGGGAGCCAGAAATCTTTCTGATTGAGAGGGGGTCAAATACTTATTTCCCTCATTAAAATGCAAATCAATTTATAACATTTTTGACATGCGTTTTTCTGGATATTTTTGTTGTTATTCTGTCTCTCACTGTTCAAATAAACCTACCTTTAAAATTATAGACTGATCATTTCTTTGTCAGTGGACAAACTTACAAAATCAGCAGGGGATCAAATACTTTTTTCCCTCACTGTATATACATGTGCACTTCAACCAAACATTCACAATAACAACACTGGAGTGTTGCGAGACCACCACAGCCAGACTCACAACAAAATAAGTAGTGGTTTGTAGAAACAGTAAATGCTTGGGCCCCATAACTGTGCTCATACAATCCAGACAGTCGGCTCCCTTCAACCCCAGCTCCCCTTATTCTCCTTCTTCTCTCCTCCAGACAAAGTAACCCTGACAGAGGTGGAATACACAACATCCACTCAGACAGGTGGAGAGCCATCACATGGTATTGAGGAGTCACCCACTTACAGCCACAGCCAGGTTGAGAGAAGTGACACTGTCCTCCTCAGACCCCACAGACATGGACGGCTCAAATATGGCCCCCGCAGGGAGCAGGAAGGAGATGGTGTGGTTCTCTGGGTTGGCCGTGATGTTCTCTTTGGGCAGGTACCGCGTCCTGATTGGTAGAGAGAGACACACGGAGGAGTGTCACACACCCTTTCGTCTCCTGCTTTCTCACCCAGTGACTCTCTTGTACATTGTATCAGATTAGATTAGACTCTAGATTAGATGTATTAAAATAGAGGTGTTTTCTCTTCATCTATATTAATTGTAGATATTAAAGAGCAATTTATAATTCAAAGTCAACCAATTATATTTAGAATACAAAGCGGAGATTAACAACACCATAGGTTTTGTTTCTCTATACAGGGTTGAAATCACCTAACAGAGATTATGCACATCGTATATACATCATTTTGTTGATCTTTTAGAGACATTTGAGTGAGCAGAGACCTACTTGTATGTGTAGGGCCCTTTCTCCACCAATTTTGGCTTTGACCCATTCTCCACCACGTCCAGTGGGTTCTGCACGTCAAAGAGCCAGAACTGTCTGTACACAGGTACTTCTGCAGACACCCAGTTGTCCCAGGCTGTGGTCCCAGGCTCGATGACCGACTCCTGCATTCAGACAGACAGACAGAAACACTTTCTATACAGTGCCCTGGTTTTAAGTAAAGCAGCAATCTTTTCACTCATTTATTTAAGTTATGTCCAAAGTGGCTGTCAACTTTTTAGATGCATTTGGAAAATATGACCTGGGACCTAGTAACACAAGAGATTGAACAAATGGAGAAGTTTCCTTCACTTACTATTTCTAATCTACTCTCATGTCCCTTTCTTGCTAGCATCAAACCACTTTTTCCTAAATGGACCTCTCAGAAATCCTCTATGCATAGCCTATTTCAATTTTTCTCTTGACCACCTCTCATGCTTTGATTAACCTCCACAATGTTTACACCTCTAGCAAGCTGACACTCACCGTTGTAACAGTCTCACGGATGATATTGTTCCCCACAGGGATAAGGATTATACCTAATATGGCCACCGCAATTCCAGCCGCAATTCCAGCCTTTAGCCCACACAGCTTGTTACAGCAACTCATGGTGGTGTGTGTTTCTGTCTGTTGGTGTATGTAGGTCCCAGCAGCAGCCGTGCCAGTGGAGAGACAGAGAGACTGAGACTGAAGGACAAGTACAGACAGACATAGCTGGTCATAAACCAGGCAGCCCACTGATAGGAGGTATATAATAATGTGACAACTGGGGGTTGAAGGTTGGTGATGATGGCTCCTGGCCCACAGGTATCACTGTACTATATGACAGCTGATTAGAGCTCTGCTTAACTGAGGAGGAGTCTAGAAGGAAGGAGATGCTCTGAGAGGCACTGTGATTTATGTACCTTTAAATACAGAGCAGGTGTCTTTATATCGTGTTGTGTTAACTGGATATTCTATTCTATTCTAATATTATTTCCTGATGGGGTGAAGATTGCTTTAAACTCTCCCCCTGCTTAGTGGAAGAGATGAGATGGTCACTGTTGGAGGTGTGTCAGAGGAGACGAATTGGGTACTTTTCAGATAATATATCCACAACTATATGTTTTCATGGGAATTTGCAGAGCTTTATCAATCCCATGCTGATAACGAAGAAGAAGATACATTATCTTGATTATGGCAAACCATGCTTATGACAGCCATACATTTGAGTGATATTGGAGTTATCTTCTCCCTCAGTCTGGTCATATGTCAGGTCATACAGTATGTGGGTGATTCTGTGTCACAAATATGCCCCCTGGTGTTACAAATATAGACATACATCTTTTGTTGAACAGGTGTATTCATTATTGCAATACCGTACTGACGTCTGTTATTCAGATGTTGTTATCTTAAAGTTCATAGGTTCCTCCTCTTCCCTCCAGGTGACCTTCAGTCCAATATCCATATCTCTACTTTATGAACCACCCTGACCCAGAGGAGGCTGGTGGGAGGACCTATAGGAGGACAGGCTCATTGTAATAGTTGGATTGGAATTAATGGAACGGATTCAAATGTGGGGTTTCCATATGTTTGATACCGTTCCATATATTCCATTCCAGCCATTACAATGAATCCATCCTCCTATAGTGCCTTCCACCAGCCTCCTCTGCCCTCCTGACCTGCCACACCCTGTTGTTCCCCTTTACGGGCAGCAGGTAGTCTAGTGGTTAAGAGCGTTGGGCCAGAAACCGAAAGGCTTCTTGTTTGAATCCCAGAGCTGACTAAGTAAAAAATCTGTTGATTTGCCCTTGAGCAAGGCACTTAACCCTAATTGCTCTGGATAAGAGCGTCCGCTAAATTACACATTTTTATTTAAATGTATTTAATCCACAGGAGGGCATCAAACTCCACCTGAAGAATCACTACAACAGGTTCACAAAGCTGGGCCAAACATGAATAAAGCTTATGTGTGATTCCTTTTTCAATATGCCAAAGCAGCATATGCATTCCACATAATAAACTGCTGTCTGAATGAGGGTGTTCAAGCAAATGTTAATTGTCAATAAAAAATTAATACTGTCAGTAAAATATTGGTTGAAATGACTGGTCTTTCACACATTGAGATACTTCAGGACGACGCCATCACCACAGCAGCCTACCACAGCTATGTGTTATTACCCTACAGTCTGCTTGGCTTCCTCCCTTCCAATTTTAATTCTCATCTTCACAATAAAAGTTCTAAACCCATTTCAATTTTTGTTCCTTGCTTCGCAAACAGGCACATGAGCATGCCTCTCTTCATGTGAAACCTATTGGAATAGTTACAATATATTAGGAATTACATTACAAGATGTATTAAATTAAATCTAGTGAATGCAGTTATATTTAATGACATTGCAAGACTGGGGTCATGACTAACATTACCATTTCAGACTAATGCCACTCCCGTGTGGCTCAGTTGGTCGAGCATGGCGCTTGCAACGCCAGGGTTGTGGGTTTGATTTCCACGGGGGATCAGTACAAAAATGTATGTACTCACTACTGTAAGTTGCTCTGTATGAGAGTGTCTGGTAAACTATTAAAAGATGCAAGGTTCTCAGTTCAGTCTTGTTTGCTTTTCATTTCACATAGGTTGGAAGAGCTGTAAAAGCTTTTATTTTGCTGTAAGCTGTACCTCAGTGGCGTAGTGTCTGTTAATGAGAAGATGGTTTAGGAATTGAATTAGTATGCATTAACCCATTACGCCATGCCATCATATCTAACCATGCAAATGATCAGAGGCTTGAATATAATAATTGCAGGATTTGAAACCATGCCTCACATGTAGGAGACACCTGCATTAGCCCTTGTCCTGTTCTTCTGGCTTCCCCAATACTCCTGTTTATGTTCTCCTTTTCTCAGGGGAGCCAGTGCCCCCATCTACCCCTCCCCTATGGGGTGTCCCTGCCAGTACACCATCCTGGGCAACCCCAGCCCACATACCAGATCCTGAATCCAGCAACATCTCCTCCCATTCCACCGGAATGGACAACACATCGACCTGTGAAGGAGAGACAGACTGAGTGGGGCTTGAACCCACATTGCAAGGAATGTGATCTTCAAGTGCTGGGTGTGAAAACCCCAGCATATACCTCATGAGCCACTCCTGAGATCTGACAAGTGCTCATCCGTGATATTTAACCAGACAAGTCTAAAACACTTAAATACAAAGATCTTGGGAAAAGCTGGAATTCAAACCCATGTTGGAGTTGGCTGGTGGCTTGCAACTCCAGCACTAACCTGTTGAGCTATCGAGGAACTCAGGGGTTCAGAGTTTCAAATGAGTATTCATCCCTATGTTCTCTTCACCTGCATTCTCCACCAGCATACTCCTAGGCAGTGTAAGTGAGAGGCTACTAAAGGCTCCAGTGTATCAGTAAGTGAAAAAGATCCCGTTCATGGCCAAGTTTCATTTTTTTGATTGATATCCCAACATGTTTTATTTTGGATCTTGCTGAGGACTTCAGCATATTCCGTTGGTTAGTTTACTGCTTGGGGTCGAGTGTTAGTTTGTGAAGATGGCCCCCTAATGTAGGAAGTAGGTTATAATGTTCATTCACAGCACCACAACTCAGGAGAGGGCCAGTATAGGTAATTAGACTGCTGCCCAGGCGAGAGGTTAGAGGTTACAGGAGCAGCCTAGAGAGAGTCACTGTCCATCAGGTCTCTGCTCCTGTTTCACCATCCTCTCAATGTCCTTGCCCACATCTGGGTCCTCAATGGTAGGAGTGATCTGTGGAGACAAGAGGCTTCCACAGTAGCCTTTTTTATATCTTAAAATCAGCTTAAATTGGATTACATTGTGAGAGAATTTGATATTTTATATGATCCTCAAACTTGTATCCAATTTAGCAGTATGAATTCAATTTATCCAACACTCGGCTCACCAGAAAACTAAATTGGCAGCTGTACAGGAATCTCAGTGAATAATTCCACCTTTGTTGTCCAGAAACAACCATTATTCATTTCTATGCAACCATCCCTCAAAGTGTGCCTGAATGGCTCACGTTTTTCAATGTGATTCAAAGGGCTTGTTGAATTCAACCTAAGTTTAGTTTAGGTGAATGGCTGGTGAAGGGAGTTACATTATGGCTTCCCGTTGACCAGGTTGGCACGGATACCTTCCCACAGCGGGTCTTGGGGAGACCTCTGACAATCAGCACCTTCCTGAAAGCAGCCACTGGCCCGATCTCTCTGACCAGGCTCACCATCTCCTTCACCACATCTTCCTGGCTCTTCTGTAAGACAGACAGACCACAGGTCTGCAACTGGACACGGACATTTATAAGATTCACTTTTCTTCCGATTCGAAAACGAAGAAAATATTGCCAAGAACAGATTAGTTGAAAAATGGGTGCTGGCGCTTTCCATTAGCCAAGCTGTAACGCTGTATGGAGCCATCACATACCACGTTACAATTCTGTAGCTACCTCTTCTACTCTCCTCAGCACCTGACCTGTGGCTGTGGTCACAAAGGGAAATCTGTTTATAGGAAACCATTAGAAAAGCAGGGGTCACCACCATTATTTTGCATGTACTCCTAAACATCGCCATTTGAAAGTGAAATGTTATGTAAAAGGCATGCAGGAAATGTTCCCTGGCTGCACCAACCTGGGCCCAGTTTCCCAAAAGCATCTTAAGGCCAAGGTTACAGCAGGAACCAGGTGCTGCAAATCAACAGTAATCACTATTATATGATCAAATTGAACTCGGTGTGGATTGATACTATTTGCTGGAATTTTTACAGAGAACCTATACAGCTTCTCCTTGGTTAAAGGTGTAAAACATTGATAAATATTCAAACCTTAGCTATTTTGAAAATAAGTAGATTCCTTACCTGGTTATTCAAGTTCATGCCATTCCACTTTCATGCAAGGCTATAATTTTACTATGGAGAACCTCACACACACTCTTCCTTCTGAGTTGTTTCATTGGGCCACTAATTTAGTGCAGACCACAGGCGGCCGGTGGCACCTTAATTGGGGAGGATGGCTGTAAAGGAATAAATGGAATGGTATCAAACACACGTGTCTTTGATACCATTCCATTCACTCCATTCCAGCCATTGTTATGAGTAATCCTCCCCTCAGCAGCCTCCTATGATGCAAACTATTCATAAGGTATCTCTATCAGAACGTGGAGATGGGGTTTTTCTATGGAGATTGGTCTTTCCTCTATAAAACCACCAGGTGGCAGAAATAAAACTACAAATCAGGTGTTGCATACCCTTTAGATATTGTTGAATTCTGGGATTAAAAAACGTTTTAATTCATTCTATTTGTACTGTAACTTCTATGTTAACTGTAGGAGTAGGATACTAGAATCAAAGAATAAGGCAGTGGAATAAGAAATCACGTATCCTATAACAACCCTTATGGCTTGATGATGAAAATATATTATAACATCCTAGTAGCCTAAGAATCTGTATGAACCGTATGATATATCTCTAGAGGTCTCTCTTGGGGGTGGATAGCGTGTTTGCCTTGGTTTCCCTATAACGGTGTCAGAAGTAGGATGGTCCCTAAAATATTTTCTACACAGACAAGAAAACAGGACAGTACATTGTTTTCTCATGTGATATGAAATGTCACTTACAGTATTAGGCATTTCCAAAGACCACAATATATTGACTCAAAGGTCAGTCTGAAATTTTGACAGAAAAAAACTGAAACAGGAAGTATTCGTGTAGCCAGCTGGTGGTAGTTGAATGAGCAGAGCTCACTGTGGCAGCGTGTGGAGACGGATGCGCTGA